CGTTTCAGTAAACTGTTAATGTAGTAGAATATGTACAAATCATTACATAAAAGTAATAATAGAGGTTCTTAAAACAATAAATATTTAATTATGCACTTCAAGATTATTTGCATATTATACTATGTTGCATAATATAATACTAGGCTTCAAGCATACTATAGGGTATTCTAATACTAATAAAGTAAAGAATTTGAGTGATTATATAAGTCGTCGCTGTAGCTTTTGCACTGTAGACATATGTTAACTTTAAAATATTTCTGTTACAGCTACGGTTGCATAGTAAAATCTTATTTTCTTTCAATAGTTTCTAATAAATAACAATGCTGAACTAAAAACTCTAAAACTGAGGTTGACCGTTTGCAAATTATTTTTACATCAAGAATTGTAAAGTTCGCACAGACCAACTGATGTAGTATCGAATGAAATACCAATATACAGCATAGCTGTAACTTAATCTACTTTTAACGGAAGTGAGATAGTGAAGTATTACGATTTTGCACGGAAAGCCAGCAGCGGAATTGGTTGTCGAAAACAATGAATTGTGCCCACGTTACTAGGGTAATCTATTGTTTTTACATGCAGAGAACCACAGAAAATAGGGTCATTCCACTATGATTGCACACTACATAAGCTAACGAATATATTAGTTACGTTAGCTAAGCTTTTCCAATATGAGTTTACAAGGCAGATACGTGTCCTATAGTTGAGAAACCTTTAAAAAAATCCGCCGTGAATGTTTTTGATCGTATAATTATACTCGCGCTTACCACATCCGGGAGCAGATGAACGTAATGCAATAAAATAATTGATTTTCTTTTCGATATATTCTAAAAGCAAACTGATGTACCTTTTGCACGGCTTCCTCAGGCATCTTTTCTAGTAGCGCCTGTTTAATTCAGCTGATCGTTTCTCGAGCCCTCACGCGAAAGACACTGTACCTGTCAAATGAACAGACAACAGGAACTCGTATAAGCGATACGTTCAAAGCTACGACGGCTCAGTGTGTTGCACTAATGATCGGAAAGTAACAGCAATCGATACAACGGCGGCTGCTACAGTAATCGTAGAATAAGGTTCTTCCGTTGTTTTTCACCTTCTTAGCCCGTAAATAACGGAACGCTTCCGGCAAAAGTGAACATCGCTTTGCTGTCATCGTGCAATTTCGTCCGCACGTTACCGTGTACACGTAGTTATACTGTTAACATGAACGGGAAATTATCGATATAAGCTCCTCTGGCTATTTTGAGTTAACTTTTCCCAAGAATTTTGGTACGTTGTTTGATTATGAATTGCTACGTTAACGCGAATCTTTCCTAGTTATCAATGGCGCGCACGGTTGTGTCATTAATCAGATACTTGCTGTCGCCTTTTCTGTTAGCGAACATCTGCTAGGACTCAATCGTAGAGTCGATTAGGGTAGAAGTCGATTATTTTTTGTATAAGGTCGATAGATAAGGTTATCGTCAACTCTCAATTCTCGCTATGTTCGTGCGTTTTTATCAATCTGACAAATATCAGAATCCTCGGAAAATAACACTTAGAGAATGACGCTTTTTACCATGCCGTTCAAAAAATTTATCGAAGAATTTTCTTCTTTTTCGCCCTGATTTCGTTAGCCGTCCGCGCGTGATTCGATTGTGGCACGTTGGTGGCACCGTCACACAAAGCCAAACGAGTTGCCCTCTCTCAATTAGTACTAATTGAGTCAACCCTCGAAACAAACACACAACAGAGTCACCGCAGCAGCAGGCGAAGAGCACGGCCATCACCTACCTGGTTTGCCCTTCTCGATCTATATAGCTCCCACTGGAAACGCGAACTGCGTCGGCGTAACATACGAACGGAAGAACAGACACATAGTACATTGGTGCATAGAGAGGCAGATTTAGTGGCGATACGAAATTACAATACGTTATCCAATCAGACCTCTGCCGAAGCCGTTAGGAGAGAAGAGAACTCGATTTCCGAACAGAGATCACCATTAACGGAGTACTCGGCTGAACAGCAATCAGTCAGTCGCCCAAGCTATTATTGAAGCAACCAATGAATTTAAATAGCAGCCTCCCGGTCATCATACTTCATAACAGCGGGGAACGACCCCAGTGCGATCGAGTTCTCGTCGGACGGCGACGTGAGGGCACCGCGCTATTACAATCATAACTGGTGGTAGTGGTTAGACAGACAGCTTCAGCCACTGCACCGAGTACCGACGTAGTGTACGACAACGAGAACGAAACTCCATTCTGGAATGGAGCAGGTGCGATTAGGATTTTATAGTGGCAATGGTGAGTAGTAAAGTTAACCGTAATGACTGCAGTGTTGCCGCAAAAGTGAATCGGTGCTTTGTCGAATAGTTCAGCGCAAAAAAGCGACAACGACAAACAGTGCATGTATTTTCTACCATCTGCCCTATGGCGGTTTGGCCAGCTCGATATTACTTTCGCCGGGTTTCGTCCCTATCTTTGGTTCGAAACCATCGTAGCTGTCTGTGTCTATGACGTACTTTCTGCGCGTTATTACCATTGTTGTTAGCCTCACCGGCGCGCAAATTTGAGCCGTAGCGGGGCATCGACTGGAGCGTCGCGGGTACAACAATTTAAGCAACAGTATCTTGGCAAAAAAGAAATGAATATAAAATAGAATACGATGACCACACAGACCCAGTCAAGCTGTCGAATGTCCGAGCGGTAGCAGCGCTGGAAATAGCAGCTAAAGTCCGTTGGATTATTAGAGAGAAACGGGGCCGCATTTGTTGACCGTCTCTTTTTCGAAAAAGAAAATGTAAAAAGGGCACCGGGACAAATCCCAACACAAGCTTAATCATATGTTATTACAACTGCGACAACTACGCGTAAGAGTAACGATTACGTCGCATCATATTGAACTGCTCACGCACCGACAATAGATAGCCAACGGTTTACGTTTGATAGGAATTGCGATAAACGGCAAGTTTTGCACAACTATGTGAGTCCTTCGTAACGTTATATGAGAGAGGAACGGAACAAACGAGAGAAAAAACCCAACGCCCACTGCCGTCAGCTCTAACTGCTGTTGCTACTGCCTCTGTTACTATTAATAGACAATTTGATGAATACGACATTAGCGTAGTGCGTGTTAGCAGCGGAGCTCTCTGTGCAGCGACCTCATCACGTCGCCGATACGCTGGCGATCGACCACGACTGTATAAAAGGTGGAAGTAAATACCTTTGCTTGATCACGTTGAGGTGATGCTGCTGTGACGAGTGATAACAGTTACTGAATTTTTGCTAATCACGTTTTTCGGAATCGACGCTTAAACGAGTGTCCTCATGCGGCACATTCAGCTGCAGTTTCCTATACAGTGCTGCTAGTGACGGAGTTCGAATTGCTAGTCCACAGCAATAATTATCTTGGCAGCAACAGCATTATTTCTAGTTGCAGTGATAAAATAACGGTGAGCAGTTCTGACCCATTGGTTACGGCGGCGGTGTTTGTGGAGGAGCGCTTTTCGTAGCGTTAATCGTAAATTAGTTATAATTTTGGTGGCATTAGTACCCGAGGCTACGCAGGACTTGGTTCCAGCGTCGGGAAAATTTCCTGGTGGGAGACCTGTACCAACCACATTTGATAACTCGTCTGTTGATTTATCGCTTACTGTTGGGTTATGCAGAAGTGTAGAAACAGAGATAAATTGCGAAAGTTAATGTGCGTAGGCCAGCTGGATGTTGTGTGGTGATCATGTACAGTCAGTAGTTCAATCGTGGAATCAGTCCTGATTTGGCCATCTGCTACGAATGGTCCAATGTCCCAGTGGGCTGAAAGTTTACGGTGTGTGTGCGAGCGGCTGCGTGATGTATCAAAGTGACGTGATCGATCCATTCTCTAGCTTTGGTCTCAACCACTGTGATTATTCTAAACTATTTTATTTAACAGAAGCTATCTTATCACCTAAGAATCAGTTGTTTAGAAGTTGCGAAAAATAAGTTTCTTTGTCCTCGACCTTTAACCACAGATGTTACGGTTACCGAGAGCCATACATGGATCTTTACAGGCTTCTAACTAACTAGCAACGAGGTAAACGATCAAGCCCAACATCGAATTCATTCTTCAGTATAAGCTTCCGTTCGACGATCAGATTCTGATTGCGTGGATAGATGGCCGTACCGGGATGCAACCAACACGCGTTTGATTGCAATAGAGATGCCCCCCGCCCCCCACCCATAGCGGACGATTTACTGGCATGTGAGCGGCACCATGCAAATATCATCGGCGTACTGTAGTAACACAGCAACTCAACCAATAAATGAGATCTGTGTCGATCGCTGCCACTGTAATTTACTTTCCATTCGAGTAAAAGCCAAGCAGAGCCGAGAGTTAATAACTATTAAGAAAAGCTGCGCCGGTGAGTCAACTATAAAAATGCAGCAGGGTTCTTTGGCAAAATTAGCGCTGAAAATTGTCCTTTTCAGCCATTAAAAATCCAAAGCACCATTTCAACGAAAGCGTTACTAGAAAAAAATCTGCAAAAAAAGCAAATAAAGGGTGTGGCATCACAGAGCATCAGTTAGTACTCTGCCTCATTGTTGTCGATATCGTCGTTGCTGTTATTCATTTACGATTAATCTTTCTACCATTTCACGGCCAGGGCTTTCCTAGAACCACGTTGTCGCTCTAATAGACCAGTGTCTCCAGTTCGCACGAACTCCGACGATACATTAATGGTCAATCAATATTGCTTGAAACGGACTGAAGTAAACCGATTGCAAATTCAACGGGGGTTTGTACACTGACCTAGTAATCTACACAACACTAGCAAGATCTTAATGTTGCTCCAATCAATCAACAGATACTCAACAAGCGGGATGTCCCCAAACCGATTTTTCGGTGTGTGTACGCGACGTTTGCTCTTCATGAAATAGCCAGGCAAGGCAGCAGAAGAAATCAAAAGCCGAACTTTTCTATTTCCCACCTAGAAATTGCTATTCGCTAATAAAAAGCGGGAAAAATCAAAATCAAACAATCATTGTGCTCCTCGTGACAAAGACAACAACAGCGGCTTTCACAATGGCAAGCTTAAACTACGAGGGTCCCTTGTCCAAGTGGACTAATGTGATGAAGGGATGGCAATATCGGTGGTTTGTACTGGACGATAATGCTGGCCTGCTTTCGTACTATACGGTGAGTACAACTACGGAAACAGTATGACCCTCGCTTAGCGATCTCGCTGGCGGGTCGGCCTATGTCGTCTGTAATTATTAAGTGGAATCGTAAAAATGACGACGCTAATCATAGTATAAAGCTTGGAGAGTTAAACGTGTGCGAGTAAAATTTTCTATGCATTTTAGATCACTACAAATTGTTCTAAATAAAAAGATTAAAGACCCAAACTGTACCACACTTTTTACGTGATTGTAGCAACCCTCACTGCTGACACAGCTTATTTATAATAACCTGTCCATGCGAGCCGATACACCTGTTTGCCAGCAAGGGTTAGGGTACGTGGCTTGTTACAAAAATTGTTCATGGCCATATCTTTCGAATTTTGGCGGCTCGTTCTTGTTCATTATGTGGTGAAACATGGTTATCCTCAATAAGATTCAGTTTGAAAAATGATAAAAATATACCGATCGTTAAGGTTAAATGGCTGTCAACCATGACAATACAGAGAATACAGCAGGTTAAATTCGTATCAAACGTGTTTGTCTGAGTGTAACAACAAAAGCTGCACCGCGTTGGTTTATCGAACGCTTCCTCTACCCATATTCAGTCAAAATTCAATCGACAGAAAGTCAGCTTGTATCAAGCAACACAGCACAGCGCTGAATATAGACGCACATAAGCCGTAAATGATTAATATATTAATTGACAGTTTAAAAATTTCTGGTGATTTTTTTTATTTTATTAGTGCTCTAGTGTAAATATTGCGCCAATAACAGGCACCATTCTGATGAAACTTATGTTTCTAGCATTATTTTTTATTAATATGGAGTGAACGCTAGTGACCTCTAAAAGGGATTGGGCAAAATTTGTCCTTCAGACAGTTACTTCAAGTAAATAAAAAACGTTAAAATCATTACCTTATAAGTGGAATGTGTCGATGATGTTGAACGCCGAGAATATGGCGCATATATATAAGAAATTTGACTTTTGCTGCCGATTATTGAAGTCAGATCCACTCAATTATTTTTCAAAAACAAATGTCAACCTAAACACCTTATAAGAAAAGTGCGAGACAGCCTTTAAACATGGGATTTAATGTCTGTTCTTGTAATGAGCCACGGCAGATAGCACTTAGAATTTCAATGAGTCGTTTTATCTGGTGTCCAATGATAGTGTTTTCCAATGCCATTTTATTTTCAGAACACATGCGAATTGGAACCAAAAAATGGGTATCGTGTGGGATACTGAAGTATTCGTAGAGACGCACAATACGCATAGAATTGCATTTGGAAAGCCGCAGGACATCTTGCGAGTTTTGCCAGTTGATCCATAATTTGGATAAACTTCGAGACTCAAAGACTTCTTTCTGAAAATACCAGGAATTTAACGGCATATGTTGCGCTATATCTTATTATTACAAAATTTATTATTATTACTCCTCACAAACTCTCGGGTTTTATACATAAACGCACGCAAACTGGAACATACTGGGCTGTACCGAGGTGGACATAAAACGCCAGGCTTTAGAAAAGTATCTTAGTCCAATGCGTGGAAACGTTTTCGCAATCTACGTCGTTAAATTCCTCATATTTTCAGAGAGAAACCTCTGAGTCTCGCAGATTTTCCATATGATGGATCAGCTGGCAAAACTCGCAAGATGTCTTGCAGCTTTCCGAACGCAATCCATCATATGATTCTCGGACCATATATATATATATATATATATATATATATATATATATTATCATTTTCGCAGTAGACTGCAGTTATTATGATATTTACAATACAATAATTTGAAGCGGCACTTAATTTGTCGCCGCCCTTCTTTAAACTATAGCATTTGCGCGAAACCTGGGCAGAGAAGAAAACGCCAAAGGATTTTGTCCCTTTCCATTTGCCCCTATAGCTTCTTAATAACGATAGCAACGTGATAAAGGAGCCACTCCAAAAGGCAATTAGGTTGATCGCTTATCCCGGTACTTGCGAGTTGGAGTTGACGCGTGTGGCTTCATGTTAGGTGAGCTATGGCGACATTACCGTCATCGTAATAGTGTGACACAATATCATTATTCTTGTCTGGCTATCTACTAGAGTGTATCAGGTTGGTCCGAAGAATGCCCAAGGCGAAGCAAAATGACTTATAGGAAGACCTATCATCGAATGCCGGGAAGCCTCGTCCTGTTGATGGTTCAACAATCGGCTGGCTCTTTAGATGTTATTACTTTGCGGTAAACCTTCAATCCTAGACGGACGATACGACTGTCTCGGGTTTGAGTGGTAGCTACAAGGTGGACGTCGTAAAGGGTGTCGACTAACAGTTCATTCTGTGCCGGTCGCGGCGGCGGCAGGCGCAAGCGAAAGTTGTTCAGCTACATCGTGGTGTTAGTAGGAGGTACTGTCAAAATAATAAGCGGATTTTCTTCATATTGCTAGCACTATTTGTACCAAATGAAGAGAAAACGCCGCTTTTAAAACTCGCTGTAAACAAGGTGGTGGTGATGAAAGAGATCAAAGGAAGGAATTGATTAGGTCGCTTGTGTCATGTAAGCAGCAGCAGTAAAAAGCGACTAGCAGCTCATCTGATGGCTGTATTTTGATCGACGGGAGGTATCACTCATTGCTGAAGGGTACGGCATGCACCCAAGACGTCCATAGTGGAGCAGAAACATACGCGCATTACTAATAAAACTATCGTCTAAATACCAATCGATAGTTAGATGATAATGATAACAATAATAGATAATCGCACACACTGCAGTTAAGATGATTTTGATAAAGGGTATTTAGTCCGCAACAGGGGTCCAGATGCAGAAATCAAGATCGACATCGGAAATGGAGACTTTATGAAATTGCTTACAATGCGTGCAGGCACGGTGTAGGCGAAACCTATTCGACTGATAAAGAGAATCGCACGGATAGTGATAGTTCAAACTGGCTCGTTGACGAGGAACAATGTCGACATTTATACGTGCCTGTAACGAATGCCGTCGGCTGCGTGTAATTGCACTGTGTTAAAATAAAAGATTCAGGTGTCACAGCAGTCTGCCACCGAGTCCCTTGTCATGATGAGAATTGCTTTCAAGCATAATATAGAAATACTACAAATCACACATGAGAAGCGCATTACTGCTCTTAAATTTAAGTATACAAGGTTCAAACTGTTTAAAATCCCCAGTATCTCGCAGACACTGATCTATTTATTACTTACTGATCTATCTTTGTTTGAAATAATTCAATCAAGATTATTATTGTATAATTATATAATAAGTAGAATGACGTAAAAAGTCATGACAACCTTCATCTATTATATAAACGAGTCAATAGGTTTTAGGCTCCTTCTTGGTCTTCAGTGACCACTAATGAGCATAAATAATCACGCTAGGAAGGTAATTAATTCTAACCGCCTTTAACTATGATAAACAAGGCTGTTCATTAACTTTATTCTTATTAATTAGATTAATCTTAATATTTAGATAAAATAATAATTAGATATTAATTAGATATAATCTACTTCTTACGATATCACCAGATTTTGCTCGTCTCGTTGTTTTGCTTTTTATTAATTAAGTGCGTTTTATTAAGCTTGGTGAATCTTCTTACTGTTATTTCTTTTATGGCCTTGCCTTTTTTTACAAATTAATATTAAAGTTAGCTTCATAACCATTTACTGTATTTTATGAATCCTAATCGTCTTCAGCCATCATGAACGGGACTATTCATTGCCTTTGAACTTTTGATCACCTCATCTTGAATACGCGCAGTTAGTCCAACATTATATCAGAGTGGTTTTTGAATTTCGTCAGCCGATGTGCACAGATTACATTGAATTACATGATAGATATAGATCCCTTGTGGTATGCTTCGTCATGTCCTAGTTGTGCGTTCCATGCGAAAGTCTTTGAAAAGAGGCTAACGGGTAAAAATGATCCAATTAATGAATGTTCGCATTCACAAAGAAGCATTCCTTAATAGGTTTGATTATAAGAAGTTCTAGGCAAAAGTAATATAATAAAAGTACAAGTTACTCGTGAACAATAAATCACCTATTCACCGCTAGGTGGTAGTAACTCGACGATGTAAATAGAGATTCATACAGCATTAAGACAGGATTCGACAAGCGACTGGAGTCAGAAGAGGAGTGGTCCGTTTACTATAGACCATGAGATCCTATTACATGGTAGGTCCAAAAGCATAATACTTGAGAATATTCCATAGTATAATTTTTAGAGATTGTGTACAAAAGTTTCTACAATTGAAAAATCTTACGGAGAGCAACCTATAAGCTAAACAATTCTTAGCGTTAATAAATATGTGATGGGCAGTAGCTTCAGGAAAAGTTCAATTTGTACTATACTATAATAGATTTAGCGACGGTTGAAATATAAGGTTTATCCAAACTGTATATAGACGCCTGCACTAGTTGTTGGTATATTCTTCATCATTATTGCTAAATCTATTGGCTTGGCTTGCCAAAACATATTCGCTCGCGCTGCATAGATAAGGTGGTATATGAATAGAATTTTCGAAGAGTTGAATTCGAACTTAACTCGATCAAATGGACGTTAGGCTCTTTTTTAAATGTAGCAGATCCTTTAGTGTTATTCTACAGCTTCTTACTCTGTACGAATATGGGTATCTTTTATGTGATTGGTATTGCTCGAACTAAAAATATATTTGCCGTATCTCTTGATTGTTGTTCTGACTTACTCGCTTAGTGATTTCAGTTACTAGTTTTTTTTCAAAATATGTTTATTTCTCACTCGATTGTACGCTTTGCTGCAAGCATTGCTGTTTTTGCCATCTCATGAAAACAATTTGTCTAAATAAACATAGTCTACCTTATCTCTGAATTTGATCTCTTTCTGCGTAGCATCTCAACTATCAGCTTACTTTTACCCTTCATTTAAAAGAACAGAGTAGCTTAGTCTAATAATGCCCAAGCTATTTACCCCGAAGTTCAGGTACATACAGTAAAAACCTATATCAAAGAAGCCTATAACGTATCTTTCCTCTATTCCTTTGCACAGTTGCATGTGTCTCAATATCCGCACCGGCCGATTAGTAGCACCACAGTACTCTTTTCTTTTTTGTTTGATACAAATGTGTTTCTCGTTTTTTCATTCTGTCGTTTCTTCATGTATTTCTATAATTTAAAGTGGACTTGTGACACTTTCTCGACTTTCTTTTTTGCTTTACAAACCAACCACCCAGTCTCTTCTCGCTTTGTTGCGCAGCAATAAGTAGTCAGATCAAGCCGACCACTGCGTACTTGCCTTAGCCGAGAGTCTAACAGAATGATGGTATAGTGATGTTGGAGGCGGGCGTTGACTGCAGTCTTTACCGCAAACGAGACCTACAACGGCCGCTCAGCAATTTGCTGCCGCCTGCGCGTGTAACCATAGCACACGTTAAGTCTTTTACGTTCACTCAACGTTATTGGCTAGATGACATGGTTGAAGAGCAATTCAGCGATGATTTGGAGCAACGATTCCGATAACAGCAGTAACCGTAGCAAATGCTGCAAGACTGCTGTAACGGAGATTGTAAATAAACCGAAAATTTTCAAGCATAGTATAAGTTTAGCGCATAGTCCCGAATCCGTTAACTACGTCCATCCCGTATCATAAGGCATGGAAGAAAACGTGAAAAGAGCGTGGTTGTACGTGCGATCGGTCTGCAGCCTGAAGGGAGTAGTTTACGGTGGATTGTGTATGCACCCCTTGATATCTTTTTGCGTCGGCCTGGAGGTTTTTTATTTTATCGATAAACTCGACCAAATGTCGCCCGCCAGCCTGACTACTTGTCGCACCGCTGGCATTTTTCTCCGGATCCATTACTTCCTTCCATATCGATCACTTGTCGACGTGTGCGCATCGCTCACGATAGGACAAGTGAGTAGCAACTATGGTAATGATGTTAACGCTCGCAGCAGCTGGAATAAGAAAAGTCTGTAGAGAAACGTAGGTGAAACGCAAAAGGGCCTGAGCTCTGAGCTCGACGTCTTTTCAGCGTCTTTCTGGAATGGGCATGTGGGTATTACACTGATTATGTTGAATGAAACTCACGTAGATGAAACAACTATGACGTATAAGAAAGAGGGAGAAAGATGTGCGCATTATTTTGTCAGTCTTTAAAATCATGGAACATGTGATTTAATGTGAGGTAATGCAGACTAAGTAGTAAGAGTATTAAGGTTAAATGGTTTGCGAAGGGCTTTGCTGGTTGACATTGTATTATTAGACAATGTTAAAATAATGGTATATTCTTTGATTAATGTGTGCTTTTGATGTGATAGTAAGGTCACGTCTGGGCTGAAAAATTTTCATAAATAATTTACTTTTCCCCTTCTATGAAAAGTAACTCGATCAGGTTCACTTTCACTTTTTTAATAGCCAGAATAAATTTGATAGCGAATTTAGTAAATAAACGAGGTCATTTGTGTGTGTTTCAGTCCAAAGAAAATATGGCTCGCGGAGCTCGTCGTGGGTGCGTCAGACTTCAAGGTGCCGTCATCGGAATCGATGACGAGGATGATTCTACTTTCACCATCCGCGTCGATCGAAAAGGCTTTCATTTCCAAGGTGACTTTTGCTAAACTATATATGGACTCGCTTCAGATCGTTTATCAATCAAGGTTATGTGGTATTTTATACCATTCGAAAGTACAGTGGTAAAAAAACATTTGTGATGCTAGGATTAACGGTATGATAACTTTTCTAAAAGCGACTGACTGTCAATTTATCTCTACGAGAGTATCTCGCACATAAAGCCGGCTTATGCAGATCCGTACGTTTAGCATTGATTTTAAGAGCATTATTTTTAAACTTTGGTCACTCTGTGAAAAAACGGGAACCTGTACTAATGGCGCCGATCTCTTTGCCACCAGAGTAGTGGCTAATAAAAAAAACTAAAGCAAACGCTTAGGCATCACATGATTTTATTACATGCAACCATCGGGCGAAGGTGCCATTTGCGTTCGTGCACTAAAAACGGTGGCATATTAAATACAAATTCTACACGTATTATTTTTGCACAGTTCAAGAGATATTTTAGGTTCAGTTCGATACCGCTGTTTGGCATTGCTTTAAATGGTTGGTCCCAGCACGAAACGAAGTCTATGCTCGTTTCAAACATAAACCATCTGATGTGTCCTATGTATATCAGGCAAAAACGCCACATCTACACCATTATAAAAATTATTTATATGATCCACTTGATTTCCACCAGAGTTAGCTTAGAATCAGGGGCCATCTGTATTCCCAAGCAAGTCCTTGTGAGAAATTTTAAATCTTTTGTGACGGTTGTCGAACGGAGCTTCTGATAAAACACGCACCTAACGTGAAACTATCAAAAACCACCTTACTATGCATAGGGTTTGTTTTTTATAGGATTTCTGATGTCTTCTTAGCTCATATGTTAGACTAACAAAGCAATTGGTTAGTTTTTAACTGGAAGCGCATGTTCTTCAATAAGATTACTTCATTATTGCTATTCAATCTAATCATCGAACCGGTCCACTGATTCCACTGCAACATATAATAACCACCCATATAATCTTTTATGCTCACGACGGAAACATCAGTAGTAACATTGATTCTTAATTCCGATTTTGTCATCGTTGCTAATCTGTAATTGTTAATCTCCACATATAATTGTTAGTCCATACCTTAACGTATAGGTACATGCTCATCAGTCGGATAGTATCAGATTTTTACCATCCTAAGTTCTTCTATACTGCAGTTCTCTTCGGTTAGTCCATTATGGTGCATTATGTTTACTGTGCATAACATATGGTGAAGATTCAACGTAATTGGATAAAAAAGCTTAAAAAAATTTACTTTATTAAGCCTTGTTTTAATTTCTTTTTCGAAGCAATCGGAGATTCGTTGTAAAGGTGGCTCAACGGGTAGACAGGTTATTATATCAGGTCGATCTGTCAGGGTATGGATGCACACGCTCTTTTCGGTGTTACCCGATTGCTTTGTGCGATTTGTCGAATTCTCCATAGTGACGGTTTAGTCGAACCCAAGTGCGTTTCATCTATGTGTTTTTTTTGAAAAATAACAGTTATTCTGCATATATAACTACCTTCTTTATTATTATCATTGTAGTTGGACCATTTTTAAAATGACCCATAAATATATAAATGATATTAATAAGTGTACAAATGCAGCCCCAAATGCAAACCAATATTTATTTTCGAAAACACGTATTAATACCTCGATCATCAAAGTATAGAAGTCATAGCACCGTTTGCCAGCCAGTAAATTTGCATAAGTCTAAATGAGTAGAAGTCCGAAACTGCCAAATCTTGCGAATGTACCACACGAAACAGAATGTTTAATTTAACGAGTAATCGGTTTCTCATCTCCTTGAAAATGTAACATTATAGAGAGAAACATGAATTTACTTGGTCGGGAAAGGGTTTTTCCTTTCAGTTAAGCTTGCATTAATTGCTCTGACGTCTTGCATTAATTGCTTTGCGCGATTTTATAAGCTATAAAATAAAGCATTCCTTTTATATTTCACCTAACATATAAGCTAGCTTTTTTGGCAAATATTTTGTTTTACGTGATTATGATATGAAATTATGATATTTTGAATCTAGGATTCGAGTAAGAGATACTCTTCCCACAGTCAGTAAGGTTTCTACACAAAGAATATTTTTCAACCGATATTTAACCGAAATATAGTATTTAATCATTTTATGTGAAACTCATTTTTCTGTCTTTTGTATCTTTCTTAAGACGCGTAAACGGTTCAAAACCAGTTACCGAGTTATATTCAACTGATCAATGCGATCCTGCTAAAGTACCACGGAATTTTCATTATGTCTGCTTTGTCCTGAAACATTCTGGGAGGTTTACACTATGGATCTTTAGCAGAAATTTTTTTTAACAAACCACCCCTTAATGAATACAACACACACTAGACTATTACCTAAAATTGTATTTTGAAGGTAAATAGCGTACAGGGTCTTAAGTATCGCTTTTGGAACTTTGTTTTCTTTAAATATGAGCAAATGGCTCAAGGATTTAAGGGGATGTATAGTAATGCCATAATAAGAAGCGGGCAAAAAATATCAAACTAAAATTTTTATCAAAGCACTAGTATTAAAACAATCAAACTGAAATTCATTCGCGCAGCTAACAGCCGATTGAAATCTCGGTAAACATATATGATTGAAGAGTTTATACTGAAAACAATAGTGCTTCGGGGGTGCCTTAGTTTCGTAGCATTTTGCCCAAGCATTCTTTTAGGCAACGGTACAGCTTCATTTCCTACGAATTATTGTATCGATTATTCTTTTAAGTCATCCCATTCTTATTGAAACTATATAGAAAATTAACTTCTTCCGAAGAGTGATATGATTGTTGCCTTTCTGAGCAACATTTTAACTATACAAATGACAATGAATGCGTGGTACGATATTGATCTGCTGATAGGAAAGTAATCGGTTCTCGCCTCGCTCCTTTTTTTCAAACAGTATCTAATGGTGCTTTAAAATGCTTTATAAACTTAAACTTAAAACCATTTAAACAATTCATTGCAAACATTGTTTTTGCTACAGCAGCCACTTTAGCAGTAGATGACGGCGTTATATTTCAGCAGTTACATTGTACTGCCCATTAGAGAGCATTTAAGTCCTGTTTAATATGATTCGAATTTGCTGTTATACTTATGATGAGAAAAATATTGACGATCTGAACGCCTATTTAATAGAAACTATATCATAGAGGACGCTTTAGAGAGGCTTAAATATTTAATTCTAGTATCAGTTTGAGCATGCATGTTAATTAACCACGACGAATTGTATTTACACTATGTATATGAATGACACTAGATTTGACTGTGTGTTGAACAAAAAACACTATTATATGATAGCTTGGTAATCTACAATTTCTGTCGTTAATTTTAAAGCTTATGCTGCAGATACTTACCTTCTTCATTAACTACAGTTAAGATATGCCCTTTTAAGCTAACAGTGACTTCTATCTAATATTTTGCCTGCGGCTATATTTTTTTCAGCTCGGGATGCGGAAGAACGCCAGCATTGGGTTCGAGCGCTTGAGGATACCATTCTTAGGCACACCCATCGACATGCTCACCATAACGTGGTATTACGATACGTACCTTTAGCACAATTTCCAACCGCCTAAATACTGAATGAATTAATTAGAAAATTCAGTTAATTAGAAAGTGCACTTAAATTGATTTTCAATTGAAGACAAGGATTTCGAAACAGATGTTTGTGTTGTCACGACTCGATTTCGTTTTCGGTCCCTGTCTACCGTACATGGTAATCTTATCTGCCTATCCATTCGTGAATTTAGGAAAACGACTAATCTATTATCTGTAACATAAATTCTAAAAAGGTTCAATCTTACATTTGCATCTAGCTATATGTCCTTAACGAAAGAATCGTATAGGAAACTGTTAGAGAATAGAAATGATGCTGTTATAGTAAATAAGTACTCGGCCTATATACAATGTTTCACGACTTGCAAAGAGTAAGAAAAAATATCCTTACATTAGTTCTCGAAGTATAACATTACATCGGTCAAATAATAATAATAGTAAATAATAAATTGCTTCGTGTACTTTAGATGCAAACATTAAGATGCGGAATAAATAAGATGTTTTTTTTGAAGTATTTTTCGGTTTCCCATAATTGTTCGTTATTATTTGTATAAGAGATGGGTGCCTCAGTAAATAAAAAGGCATCCGTAAAGTCGATACACTCTCACGCAAAACATCTTTAAATTCAAGCCTTTTGTTTCAAATAATCTATAGTTCAATCCGTATTGTATGAATGCGAACAGCTGTACTCCAGTAGAGTAAGGTCTGAACTGTACATAATTAAAGCGCCAAAAAAATTCCGTCCAAGATCAGCATGAATTTTCTTGTTTAATGATTACTCCGCACGTTAGTTTGTCGTTTCAGTTTTTTTTTTATTTCTAAGGACCCAGTTTTCACGTATTGGGTCGACTTGCATTCTCATTCACCAAAGTTCCACGTTTAGGAAATTAGATTTCCTAAGCGAACATAAGCGAAACAAATTTCCTAAGCGAGTACGCCTCCTTTAATGCTGCTTGCGCGGGAACGGCTGTCCCTAATATTCCTGTCTCTTTTCGTTGCTCGAAAAAAAAATGATTACTTTAATAATGATTTTTTCCTTAATGGAAACACAAGTTACGCTATGAGCCTCCTTCTGGCCGATCCCGTCTAATATTTTATGGTTCAGATCCGGAACGACTCAATACTTACGGGTAGAAGCTAATGGTAGCTTAAAAACCTTTAGGTTAAAATCGTTCTTGAAGCAAAACACACGATTTTTTTATTATCGAAGAAATGATTGCCATTCAAGCAATGCTATACTATACGCATATGCTTAAACGATTGGCTGTAGCATTTTTACAAAGTTTATGTAAGATCTCTTTCTTGTCGTTAAGATTTCTCCTCTTGCATGTAGCAAACATTGTAACTTAATGCAGTAATGTGACCTTTTGGTGTACAGAAAGAACAGAACAGAGCCCGCAGTCCATTGTCGAGCCTCAGTTTCATAGGGCTGCCTAGGACTTAGTTTGTATTTTAAATTTACATATGGAGCTCTACCGCGCTGAAACCCGATCCACATAAATGCCGTTGGATTATCTTTTTTCCATTTCATACATGCTCCTGTTTTCTCAACTGCGCTTTTCCTGCCTGGGAGAAATCCAGAAGGCTGTGTCGGATTATTTTTCAGTCCGATCGCGCAGAAAACTGCCACTAATGAACTTAGGAAAAGTGAGCCAGTTCTTAACGGAGAGCAAACTAAGTTTCAAGCCAAACGACAGAGCAACGTTTCAAAATTGTAGAACCAACCTAATATATCCTAGTTACAAGTTGTTTGCCGCAATATAATAGATTATTTTAATGACGATGATTATTACTATTGTATTCACATTGATTCTATGATTAAATATTTATAGTTAGTCGAAGCTATCATAATATTTAAAAGACTCGTGTCTCGTAATCATACAAATTAAGGTAACCTACTAATTTTACTTGTATTTGCATTTTTGTAATTTTTGCGTGTTTTAGCTACTCTGGGAGCGACCCGTTTCAGTGCGAAGCTTCGAGGACAAACTGGCTGAGGCTGACAGCTATCTTCAATTATTGATTCAGCAAGTAGACGTAAGTATCTCGAAAATGGCAAGATACAGCGATAGAATGTTGCCCTTTACTTATTATATAATGGAACTTACTGGCTGACGTTGAGAATATGAGACCTCGGCCAAACGACCAGAAGAGTCCTCAGCATCCGTATATCATTTGAGATAAAAGTCCATCGATGACCGACCCATTGCGGCATCTTTGGAGATCAATGGGCTTATATAGAACAAGAGAGATTCAGCTTAAAAGTGAAGCCATACACATTTTAAATGTTACACAACAAAAAAAAAGATGTCTAATCTATGCCAAAAGGACTAAACGTTTGTGAAGTATCAAACATTATCACCTTCATGTAACATTAAAAATGTGGAATGGAGATTTAATCTAGGCACCGATTCAGAAAACCTCGTAGCTATTGTTTGAAAATTGAGGTTTTTGTCTACATTAGCTTAGGTACAATTAGATTAATTTTCGTATGACCAAATGGGCCCTTCTTAGTTTGTAACGGTTTGTTAAGCGGATATAGTGCCGAGTCGCATTTGCGTAAATATCTTTAAAAAAGCTGCGCGTTTTGCATCTCTGGTTTTCAAAAAAAAGTACTAATACATATAAACAGGATTCAAAACAACGTATTTGAAGTATAAACATTCTAAGGAGATTTTCGACGTCTTTGGTCTAATAGAAACGTCTTTTGGATATATAGAATATGTCTCAATAAACAGTTGTTAATCCGTTGAAATTAGTTTTTGCAAGGTTAACAGCTTTACTATTGGCTCAGCAAAGGGTCCGACACATACATACTTACTATTCTTGCTCTCTCGATATTCTATTAACCTTTATGGACATATTGCTTAATGAGCAGAGAGATTAATGCTTTGAGTACTATGCATTCAAAAATTCAAAGCTAAAATAGATGCTTCGAGTTTTACGTTCGATACTGCCTCAGTTAAGCTTCGTTTTACACGGCCGGCTCCCAGCATGAAACGGAGTGTGTCTACATCCGGTTTAGAACCAAGATCATGCCATCTCACGTGTGCCTAAGTTTATTAAACATACACGTTTCCACTGCACCATCACAATAATACATTCAGGAATACGGAGGGCTATGGTCTTTTCTCTTGTGGATATTTCCTATAAGATACTTCCTGGAAAGTCCTTAATCTGGGGACGGACACTCCTTTTTTTAAAAAACATCTCATATATATGTATGCGTGCAATATATACATGTATATATATCTACTGCACACGTCACTGTTCGGAGTTAGTTTTTACCATTATTTTGCCCCTTGCAGAAAACATCAGATTTTGTCTGGCCTGTCTCGTGCTTTTCGATTTTTATTATACCACGGTTGCACAAAAGTGTACTGTGCTATACGCGATCCCAGATTTTTCTTGTCCAGTTACTTGGACTTAATGCTACCTAACATCAAATTAGGTTAAGTACAAGTTATCAGAACGTTTATGCTTGTGTAGGGTAAGACTAAAATCGCGTAAAACTCAGGTTGCAACGTATGCACTACGCCTCTGCTGTCCAAGACCCCAATAACGACTTACAAAAAGGTGTTTAGTTTACGATTGCTGGGTTACAGTTTTGCTTTCATTTGTCCTGGCTGATAAAACGCTACTTGCTAGAATCCTGATGTACAATACATCTAGTAGATTTGCTTATTTAAGGATCACTAATCTCGACAAGCAATGTTATAAGCTTTCTATTCTGTGTTCAACAAGTTTGCCAAAAAATCTATAAGTAATAAATTAAGCAAGAAAATAACATCTACTTTTGAGAACCTAGCGATAATTTGTTTATGTCTAAAGTCTAAACAGTACACTATGATATAAATAAAAAGATTTCTACCATTTTAAAAAAGCCTACAGTCGTCTGTTAAGAAATTTTAGACCTCAGTCATACAATAGATATAATAACCATGTTTCCTTAACTAACCAATTTACCAGTTCACAGCAGCAGAATGGAAACGGTTTTGCCGAGTTGCGCTGTACCGAAACAGTTAACCGATTGTATCAATCAGGGTTTTATTCAACATAGCGCGCAGTAGGTTTGGCCAGAATTAGTATCACTGCGCAGGCCTCTTCCTGCCCGTAATATATACATTCAGTATTCTCTACAGCGGCATATAAACCTTACGGGTATCAGGTCCTGGTAAAAAAATGTTGGCTTTATCAAAAATCTGCCGCAAGAAATTCATTACAATAAAATATAGAAATCCCAGGCTACTAAGTATAATTCTCATAAATTCGCCACTCTTCCGTAGCAAGTGGTTTGAGGGAGACAGATTGTTTCTGATATATGCCATCACTCAAAGTTAGCAACAATCATCGAATTTTACATCTTTAGCCAGGTACGTACGTTGAAAAAGGACAGAATGAAAAATGATGTCGTTATGTGTCTGGTTCGCGTTTAGTGGATGCGCGCCTATGATCCATGGTAGTCAATGCGCAGTTTAACTAAACTCCACAGTGTGATTCTATTGTTCTGATAGAGAATCGCTAGGATCGGTTCAGTTAGGTGAAGAAACTCTCCCTAGTTTCTAATGATTATCTCCTACAGAGCACTTTAGCCAGTTTTTTGGAAACTACACCACTTGGATTCTTCCACTTAGCTTATAACAGTTATTCTAGGAAAACCCTTATCAGGATTCAAACTTTTGTTAAGTGCGCATAGTCAGAGAGAGCATTAAGAAGAACTACTTGATTTTATCAGGGTACTGCGCCATAATTACTGGTGCGACATGTTCCATCGCAAAAAAAATTGCGATGGAACATGTAATAATTAGTTACTTATTCAGTGGCGAGCGTTTATGGGCTATTTGGAAGGGCCGTATTTCAATGTTATCAGTAAGTGCTCGTCATGGGCTTGAAAAAGGTGAAAAAAGTTTGCTGGGCTGAGAATGCTGTCCGTTGACCCGATATTCCACTTGTTTTACTTCGAAACTCAACCAACAGCAGCCGAATAGAGGCAACAGGCAACCTCTCCAGCTTCGCTATTTGAAAAGTAACACCATAAAAAGCCCGTTCATTTTTCCACTGCACGTCAGAAAGTCAACGGGTGCAAGCCATGCATTTCCAGTGTCTAAAACACATCTTGCCGCTATTGCGGCTGCTACCAGGCGTCTTGTGTAATGGATACAAAATGGAACGATCCCGCGTGACCACCATTGCGACCTGCCTAAAAAAAAAATGGTCCCAGATGCTGTATCCCTATTGACTGGAGCTGTTTCTACCATGACGAAACTGACACTTGCGTTTGGAATAGCATTACAAAAAACAGTCTGCAACAAGGCTGTTCACACAGGTTGAATTCGAAGCCGGTGGTGAGCTAAAACACGATGCTGCAAAAAAGAAATTCAGAGGACCCATTGTGTTTTAGGGCGTCGCTTCAGGATTATGTAGGTTGTAGGGTGCCGTCAACCTTGGCGGCCTCTTCGCGATGCTGCTGCTGGTGCGAGTAAAAACACTCTCGAAACTTGTGAGTGATCTTATTGGAATGCGGGAAAAATGTCAGCAAAGGTTTGGAATAGCGCCTCGTGGTCAATCGTGAGTGTGCCGGTTGAAAACAGAGATCACGTTACCGAACGAGCTCGTCTTGATAACTCACAGAATTGTGGGCGGGGTCACTGAAAATTACAAATGGCTAGTCACTAGCCACAGCTAATCGCTGAGATTTCCTATCGTTCAGTGGGTCAAGTCAGGAGTGCAGCTGACAGCTGAAAGATTTAACTACTCTGCCACTTATAGAGTCTTAGTACGCTAAACAGATGTGGGTACAGCCATAGGTTAGAACTATTTGTGGCAACCGTTTCTAGGGGGCAGGTACCTTTAACTGGGGTGGTTTTCAGTTAGTACTTAGTAAGCATGACATTATAATTATAGTACCATTGGCTGGAAAAGATCAGTAGTTGGTTTGGTTTAGCCTTTCCGGTTTAAGCCAGCCAACGATAAGAAAATGTGCTTAAATCAAGAAATACTTAATTGAACCCACTTAGTCAATCAACTATCATCTTCAGTTGGCTTAAACAACAAAAGGTCAGAGTATGTAGTGGCAACGAGATAAGAAAAGTATGGTCACTTACTTCAATCGACCGCTGGAGAAACTGCATTTTTTAATAAATCATCTTAACCAGACCAACATCTTAACATGTGACATTTGTTAACTACTCGATTTACACTATTGCAATGAAAACATAGTCACTTAAAAACAAATTTATTAAGTGGGGCTCCGTTTTATCGAGTTCAGGGGCATAGTCTCATTGTTATTTCGGGATTTACGTAGACATTCATCCTCTCCCAACAATAGCATAATAACAAGATAATTATTTGTATCATTTATTTTCAAAAGATCAAGATATAGTAAGCCTATCTATACATCTAAAATGTATTTTGTTAAGATGCCTAGAAGCACACGCACGAATATCAAAGTCAAATATACGGATGAATTAAAGAGCATTTGTTCATATTAAAAAAGCTAACGAAAAGCACATACACTTGTATTCATGTCTAAAATAATGATGTGGTGATGTGATTATCGGCTTACATGTAAACGTTCTCATTTAGCATTGATCAGCAGAATTCTTTCCACTCTTACTTACAAAAGTCACAAAATCAACCAGATGCTCATTCAATTAGCACTCCTAATTCATTTCCTATTAGGCCAAAACATTTGCATGACTTCCAGTCGCAACAAGATACAAACAAACAATTTTATTTATAAAGCATTGCTAGACTCGTATCTGCTACCAACTATGATTAATCTTGGAATGAGCTTACCATCTCATTTGCGCTGTTGCACGTCATGACATTACTCTAAAGACGAGAGATGATTGTCCAATTGGCCAGTAGCAGCAAGGATAAGACCATAATATGGTGGGCTTGGTCGCAGCGGTCTCGAGATATACTCGGGGTGATACTGGACAGCGACAAAGTACGGGTGTTCAGCTAGCTCGAGTACTTCCATACGCTGTAGGGTAGTATCCTTGGCGACAAACCGCAGGCCCATCTTTTCCAGTTCATCGACACACGCCGGATTTACTTCGTAGCGATGTCGGTGACGCTCTTGAATGACGTCTTGATTGCCGTACAGTTTACGTAAAACAGAATCGTGCGTCTGAAAAACGGACTCGCGTAACCCTAGCCGCATCGTGCCACCCATCTGACCCGTATGGTGTTCAGGCATATCGATCACGATGGGATCTGTAGCTTCATTATCGAACTCGAATGAGGTGGCGCCTTTACGCCCGAGCACATTGCGAGCGAACTCAATAACGGCACACTGGAAGCCGAGGCACACACCAAGGAACGGCTTTTTTGCGGTTCGCGCATAGTTGATGGCGAGAATCTTGCCCTCGACACCGCGAACTCCGAAACCGCCTGGCACGAGGACGCCATCCACTTCACAAACGTTTTTCCACGCGTCGTAATATTTAACAGAGTCCGTTTCTTTTGTCTGGATTTCCAAATGCTCGGCATCAATACTTTTGATTTTCAGCTTACGCTCGGCTAACAATGCTGAGTGCTGCAATGCTTTGATTACTGATGAGTACGAATCCTCAAACTTTGTGTACTTACCGACAAGGGCGATTGTCACGGGTTCGGTGACCCGGTCACTACGCCACATTAGAGATTTCCATGCGTTTAACGCTTGTTGGTCAAGCTTGACATGCAGATTGAGATGTTTCGCGAACAGGTTAACGAGACCGTTTTTTTCGAGGAATACGGGCACATGATAAACATTCGGTACATCATGTAGACAGATTACCTGTTCAGGTTGAACGTGACAAAAATTTGAAATCTTATCCTTAATCTCCTCGTTGACCGGCTGCTCACTCCGGCAAACAATGATATCGGGCGAGATCCCGAGTCCTCGGAGTTCTCGTACGCTGTTTTGAGTTGGTTTCGTTTTGCTGTCGCCCGTACTTTTCGGCTGAGGTACGAGAGAGACGTGAACCGAGCAAAAATTTCGCTTCTTCACTCTAAACCGAAATTGGCGGAAGGCTTCGATAAACGCCATACCTTCGATGTCACCAATTGTTCCACCGAGCTCAATAATACATACGTCTGGAACGTGCACGCCGTCCAGCGGCACCATCGCAACCCTCTCAACCCAGTTTTGGATGGCGTCCGTAATGTGCGGTACCACCTGTACTGTTTTGCCAAGGTAGTCTCCTTTACGTTCCTTATTAATAACACTTTGGTAGATTTTCCCTGTCGTAATATTATTGTCTCGGGCTAACGTTACGTCGAGAAATCGCTCGTAATTCCCGAGGTCGAGATCGACCTCACCACCATCATTGAGCACGAACACTTCACCGTGTTCGTACGGTGAAAATGTCCCCGCATCTATATTGATATACGGATCAATCTTAATAGCTGTCACGTGCAGGCCCGCTGTTTTCAAGATCGCACCGATCGACGATGAAATTACGCCTTTTCCAATACCTGAGATCACGCCTCCAGTGACCAAAATGTACTTCATTTTCGACTCAATTGACACAATTCGATGTAAGCCCGAGATCTGTTGACGTAGCTGTTGAGGCCGCAGCTGCTGCTTTTTATAATCAGAAACGATGCTCCAAGCTTTGGTATTCGTCGTTTGAACCCGGGTCTGTGTTGAAGTAGCTGCTGCCCTTGATATGAGGACACTGTTTTAGCTACTGCTCGCACTCCAGACGTGTACGGGCTTGCTCGTCAAACTGCTGAAACAGTCAATAAACAAGTTTCGTGTGAGAAGGCGCAACAATTATGACTGAGTCGTTGGAACACGGGTCGAACTACTAGTGGTAACGGTAGCGTGGAAGACGCCGTGCGCTCCACCGTGACCGAGCGTTGCTGCTACCGCAGCTCTCAGCAGAGAGGGGATTAGGCTGATCAGCGGCAACATGCTTGCCTCCATCACGTATAAACAATATTAAGAAAAAAGGACGACCCTAGCCCAGAAGAAACCAGGGGGAGGTGGGAAGAGAATGAATAAGATTAGCAAACTTATGTCCTTTTTCTCAGGTTTTTTGCGTATATCGATGACGCACTAACACAAAGTCTTGGCCATCAACAAGTCACCATCATAACCAAAAGCTGTGCAGCTTCTTAATCTATTTCTAGCTCTTGTTACCTGGTGGGCCTTGGTATCTCTGTTTCAGATTTCCAATTGATTAAATCAACTGATAATGATAAACTTTGCCCCAATGACTAACGTGCGCGTAGTGCCGCACATGTGGTAACTTATTGCCGCCAGCTCCTGAATGGTAATTAAACAACGTACTTCTGGGGGGAAGAGCAGAGATTCAAACGGGTCAAGATAACTAACCTACTTCGAAAGAATGAATTTATTACGCTAGCATGTCCATTAATAGTGTAAAAGCAAGTCGAATCTATCTAAGAACCGATCGTCTGCATGAAGCAACTGAACAATTTTTGGATTGTCCACATTGAATCGTTTTGTTTCCTTCTCTCTATTTAGACTTTGTGTCTTGAAACAACCTTACCCCCTGTTTGCCAAAAGTGGCCGAAGCGATGCTCTTGCTCTCCGTATGCTGTCGTTTGGGTCAATAGCTGGGATAAGATATCCTTATTGCGCGGAAAGCATATCATGTGTTTGAGCTGCAACAACTGCCCTCTGCTATGTTGTACGCGGCGTTCAAATGGTCGTTGCTATCAGCTATCACTGAACATAATTATAGCCTAGACTAAGCGTAGTCACTCTCGGCTACGAACTACTAACTTCTGAGTTTTCTTGGCCTTTGCGTTTTGCCGTCACAGCTGTGAGATGGCTATCAAAACACACTCGCTGAGGAGCGCGAGACCAGACATACACGTGATCGGCTGTGGCTCCGCCAATCTGTCGGGCCCGCCATCACCTGTAAAGGCCCTGTCTTTGTTGCGTGCATTATCAGTCGGGACACACAATTGGTTAGACGACAGAACGAGCTTCCCAGCTAGTCGGACAGCTGCTACCATTGCGCGCATACTATTGTGGCTTTTTCTCTCTCCCATTCTCCGTCTGTCTGTTTCAGGCGTGCCGCGTGCGCGTTTTGTATATAGTCGAATCCAAAACCAGTCCACACAGACAATAAATCTACACTTCTGTTGAGAAAATAATCAGCGCATGTAGAAAACTTTTGTATTTAAGCAAGTTGTGCGTGCGAACGCAGCAATAGTACGATACGAGGTTAGCTGTCTCATTTTGTTTACTTAACATTCGTTCGTTTATTGGTGCGTTGGCTGTTAATTCTCTAAACGATCGTTCGTCACCGCCACAAAGGATATAGCACAACTTCCCTCTCTTTTTCCCGTTTCGCTCTCGCTCTTGCTGTGTTTCTGTATCGTAGAATCGTAGTTGTGCAGTCGTAGCTCCCGCAGTTGTGCACCCTAAAGAGAGCTTTAATACGAAGGGTGACTCGGTGTCGTGCCGCTACTACCGGCCTCCGGTGTTCCTGTCTATTGGCGCTCATAGTCTGCTCACAACCATTGCTGCAACGAATGTTGTAGTAGCAAAGGCAGCAGCAGCGGTCGCAGCTTTTCTGCTTTCAACTTTATAGCGGCATTGATCGGACGCAGAAGAGCCGCCAAAGGGCGTGCATGGTCGACGACGGCCCGCTACCTCTGCAGACTGCGATAGCCCATTCTTGCTGTTGAGTGTATTGATCCGTTCGCCTGCTTGCCATACTGTGCACGTCTTTTTCTCCGTGTAAGACGCCTGTCCGTTTTTGTCTGTTATGCGGGTGTCCTGCCGCATTCAACAGCTTTTGCTCTATAATAGTTGGCTTGCTAATGATGGCTGCCGCAGCAACAGGGACAGCTGTTGTAGACAGGCCATAGAAGCTGCGCTCACAGGGCGAATTCGAGCAGATTGGCCGACAGCTTCAAAACAGCATTAAGCATTCAGCGGCAGTAATGATCGGTTGATTAGTGAGTTGACGAATAACGTTTCAACTTTTAACGAACGTAATACGAATAATTTAGCCACTGGAATAAAGAGTACGAGAAATAGCAAGCGGCGTCGGCAACAACAGCTTCAGCAGCAGAATCAGAAAGAACTCGTATATGCATATATACATAGCTCATATTAGAGAATGTAGTCTGTGTCTAGTAAACTGAGTGTTTGTTATTCGCCTCCTACTGGTGGTGTTGCCGCTGGCTATGTCTTCGTCAACCAGTGCTGTGTTGCGGTACTGTGAGATCTCGTTGCAGGATACCAACTACTAATCATATTGTAATTTCTTTAACAAACTGGACGAGTGTGCTGTGATCCAGCCGCTGCAGGACTGAGACACAATAGCTTACGTAATAAGAGTTCGAGGATCTCTCCTAGCAGCGTAATCGACCGCGAACCGCAGTTACAGCCGGGGGTGCGCCTATCGCAAGAAAGGTCTGCACTTGGCAAGTAATTTACCAGTTAGTCGTGAGTGTGCGAAAGTGTGTTCGACTTCGGCGATTTCGATCGATGCGTGGAGACCGAGGAGCGACTGCGGATACCGTTGCGAGCGTGCTGTCATTGCGACAGACACCGAAGGACTTTAACGTCATAACGAAGATGAGGGAGATGCAATGTTGGTCTCGAACCGATTGTTCTCGCCATGAGAGCTCAAAAAGATGTGGCGTCTAGACAAATAGTAATAAGATACCTCTAGGACACACATAAAACTCTCTATTCTTACTCCACCGTAGCAGTTATTAATGCTGGTATTATGGTTCTCACCGTTGTCATTGCTGCTGCTGCTGCTGGTGTTGGTAGGGTGCGCTAATCCCAGAGAACGCTAAAATTTCGCGCCGCATCTATGGTTTGGTATACGCATTTTAGGTGGTGATAGCGCTAGTTGTTCAATTGTAGAGACGTAACGCCGGTCGTGCTGCTCTACTGGTTTCAACTCTACTTGCCGAATCGAAGCCGATCTCTATGCCAAGTTGATCATGGTTATACATATCATCGAAATAGGTATTTTTTACGCGACGTGTCCAACCGCGTTAGATCTCCACCTGACCAGCTATCTGACCGTGCATCGACGTGTGTAAATCTGCAAGCTGTAAAGTTGTTCAGCTGTGAATGTACTTCTGCGTACCGCTCTGATGGTGTGCTGAATACGTATCTAGACGTTATGCAACACATAATCTGTTCGTGAATTGACTGTATTCTACAAAATAAATGACATCGTACAGAGGCTGGCTAGAAACGTTTTAGTTAGAGTGGTCGCAAGGCTAACTGAAGTTCGCACGTTGTCTCCAACTAGAAGTCGACAACGTGTAACAGTTGTCCTTAGCATTTCACTCGAGACGTATGCGTCTGAAATCTCCAACACCTTTTTCAGTGTAAAACCTTTCGTTCTTCCTTGAAGACGGTTGCAGCAGGCAGTACTGAAAGGGGTCGTTCATATACTAAAAAAAATCGGAGCCACAAGCAACAAGTATACTAAAATACAATAAAGACACGAGCTCCACTATCTACCGTCCTTTCGCCTCATGTCAGCTCACCATGAATGTTTATAATTAGTGTCTACAACAGTTGTCCCAGCAAATTGTCAGCTCCCCGACCGGCCGACTCTCTAGTCAGCAAACGAAGCGAGCCCGTTCGATGGCCGGATAGTGTTTCTCTTCCACTTAGTTCTTGTTTGACTGCCTCGTTGCGCTATCCGTCGTCATAGGAGTGCTTGCGTCTTGCAGATAGCGGTAGATTCAGAAATAGACCGCGGAATGTGTATGTGTGTGTGTATGTGTATTTTGCCGTTTTCTTCTACCACAATAACAATAACAGCAGCAGCCAGCACAACTGCGGTAACTATAACAGCAGCTTGACGAGCCGCAAAGTTAGCGGTCGGCTCGCATCTGGTCCTGCATTAATATGAGTTTCATCGGGAGGCAGGCGGTTGGGTCGATAGAGATTTAAACAGGCCGGCCCACCCCGGCGCGGCCCTCAACGACAACGGGAGCAGCAGTAGCAGCAATGAGCCGTAGACGAGAAATAACTGATATACTTAACTGCAACTAGCTTTTTGGCTAGTGTTGAGCTGATGGATCTAGTGCTGACCCAGGAATGGATTAAAGTGGCTGGCAAGGAAGCGGGATAACTGGCACTGACAGCCGCGGCGACTCGTTCAGTTAGCAAGTTACGAAGGGAACACTCATTACGAAACAGCAGCGTTAAAAAGCGCTATGCAAGTGAAGTCTCTGGCAACCCGAAGGCTGGTCTTCAATCGATGATGGGGGTTTAGTCAGTTGAATTCGTTGAGTCAGTCTTAGCTACACGAACAATTTCCAATTCGTTGTATGACAGAGGATCATTACAAAAAAAGGAAGAAGACGGAGGCAGCAAAGGAAATCAAAAGAATATCGAAATTTCGTGGCGATAGCAGTAGATGATCAATCATCGAATGAACTGTTTAAAACTGATTTTATCAGTATACTCTGTAAGCCACATGAATAGAAAGTGATGATGGTAATAGTCTGTATACGTCAGAGTCAGGTCTCTAGAGGCGCGTCCCCTGTGGCGATATGGTGTCTAGTAGCTTCTGAAGTGTAAAGACCAATCGACTCGCTTATGGATATTGTGAAATACAAAGGAGTAGTGAATAGTGAAGCTGCTGCTGTGTTCGGATGTATTCCGCTCGGACAGATGTATTATCGATAGGTTCGATCACACTTTAATGTGAAGTCGTACTCTAAATGCATTCAGGACAGAAACAAACCTAGATCGACTGGTGAGACAGACAGCACTGAGCGTCAGTCATACAAGCTATCTACTGAAGATCGTATGCATGTGAAGTAGTTTGTGGGGCTTCGTCACATCAAAACCTTTTCATATTAACTTGTCACTTTCTACAATTCTATCATCATTTGTGTGTTTTTCATGGACACGATGGCAACACGCTTGATCAGACAAAGAATATTAAGCAAATGACAGCAGTATCTGTGTCTACAACACGTAATGAATTAACGAGAGTCGTTGGTGAACTGGAACAGAACGTCTAACAAATTCCCTTTGTGCTTCACTGTCTAGCAAGCATGAGCGTACATCGACACAAGAAGCATGTAACGACGACCAATGTTGCAAAGACACAATTTTTACAGCAAAAATAAATTATAATAAAAACATAAATACAGTAAGAAGTACATCCCAACAAGTATAACCTGCTTCTATCATTTCTATTATCTTCTGTTATCGCAACAAAAGCAACGTCTTGGGAATAACGAACATTGTACCATAGTTCCACCAAGAGATCAGTCATTCTGTTGACGGTTACCAACTCATCCTGTTCAATTCGGCAGTGTACTCATAGCAGCAACGTCCACAGATCAACGCTAAATCCTCGGCAAGGTCCGCTGGTTCTTCACAAACGCGGCAAATGGCAATAGAGAACGACTCATAATGGATTGCAATCATCGATTACTGCGTGGGCGCCAACTCAAAAACATCACTCGCAGCGGGACCAGTGTAACAAGTATGACCAGCAATGGCTCCCGGCCCGTCGGCCTGACTATAGACGACTAATTAAAGACGATCACCGTTACAACCTGGGCAACGGCCATAGCGGCGAGGAGAGCAGCTGCAACAGGCCAATTAACATGGAGGAGGCGGTATGGGATATTAGCGTTGATGTTACACGTCGCTGTGAAATGATTTCATGGGGGCAAAAAACGAACGAAGGAAAAAGGAAAATGGCTAGCCCAAGGGCCGGTATTAACGTTTTCAAATGGCAATTGATGAGGGAGAGAGCAAACGAAACAAGGGGTATAGGAAACCCACGTCGAATGAGGGGCTCATGCTTAATATAAGCACATATATTGTGCATGAATAGAAAATGTGTAGATAATGTTGGCCTATTGGCTTTTGCCATCGGATGGGTTTGTGGCTCCTTTTGGAGATTTCCGAAGCCACAGCAGCTTCCCTCTGCATCAAAGTCGGCAAGGCGATAATAGTATGGCCAATAAAAAAATAAAAGCGCAATAAAAAAAAGCCAGTGGCAACGAATTCAAGACAAAAACAAGCAAAAATAATAAGCAAAGGAGGTTCACATTGTTTCTCGCTTGTCAACAAATTGCTTTACATATTATATACATGTGAAGCAATATCCTTTCGTTCCTTTTGATTGGTGTCTATTCGGTATTAACTCATTCAGTCGTAGTTAGTTTTTGCTTATCTTGCTGTTGTTGTGATTGAATTTTCGACGTTGACTGTGGTTTAATGATAGGTTTATTCGGACGCGTCCCGTAACGTTTTCGCGCTATGAATGTCGATGGCGTAGCGATACACTATTCTATCGCTTTGGTGCCGCGTCTATTGTGATAGTTCTGAACGTTGCAATGCTGAATGTGATGTCATTTTGTTTCTGATCATACTGACGAAGGCTGTGCCGATGGTGGTTGAGCCGTTAGTTCTGTTGCTGCTGCTCGCGATCGTAGCGATGTGACCTGTTGCGACCACTCGAGGCGTCCGCTAGGTATTACGCTTAGGAAATGACGCGGAGAAAGCGACATAGGGAAACAATAGTAGAAAAATCAAATTTGCAATCAAAAAAGCACACATTAGTGAGATGTGCATGTGTATTCGTAGAACATGCTGAGTCACGAAGCCATTGCTAATATGATATATATGTATATATATAGCATTGCAGACTACGTTTAAATCCCTTGCGCAGGAACGATTTTCCACGACGAACAATGTTAACTACGTTTTGTAGTGAAATAGGATAGCAATGGAAATTACGTGCAATGAAGGGAATGAAAAAATAGTGAGAAAAGCATATGGTTTTGATTATCAATTTAGTTCAATTTAATTCCAGCAGGAATTGTCAAATGACTGATTTATCGGTAAAGCACGTTTAATATATACAATGGTTGATATCGTTTAATCTAATCTTTAAAGGCAACAAATGGAGGTTTTTAATGTAGGTCAAAAACAGTGTTTTTTTTTACGACGATTTTAGGCAAGTTCAATGAGCTCATAAATGGCCTGACAATGAGCAAATATTTTGTTTCAACGTTTCAATTGTAATAATAATTTACATTAAATTCCCTCTTGAGTTGAAGTCTGGACGTGAATGTTGAAGTGTTTAATTCCTCGTCGAAAGATCATTGTGAGATTTTACCGAACGTGGAAATCGCAACCTCACCTCATGCGACAGCCTGCAGCTTTCTCTAAACTCGACTTACTACAAGCTGTAATGACTTGCCAGTCCGCGACTTTAATTTCGACATCATCGTCTTGAACGGCACATAAAAAACATCAACAACTATTAAACTTTCATATGGCAAATTATTGGCTGAGAATTGCGTGAACTTCATTTCGTGAACTATACATACGTGATGGACAAGTGCCACGTTATTTACATTATAAAATCTTTGTCGTTACAAACCAATTTAAAATTTAAGTACCCGCGACTATCAGACGGCTTCTACCTGGTAAGCACTCCAGTTCTCTAGAAACTGGCGAGTAAAAACCAATTGAGACTACTCTTCGAAGAGAAAAAATACTTTAATCTCGAAAAGAAACGCTTAGCGGTCAAGTTTTTGTGAGTAAGAGCGATGTGCGCTCCGAAAATTAGTAAAGATATTAGGCAAGGAGGTTTTCATTGAAAGCACAATACGTAAATGGTACAAACGTTTCGAGAACGGAGAGTGGAGTATTGAGGAATTGCAAGCAGGTGACCAGATATTGAAACACATAAGACAATAATGCATTGTCGCAAAGTCTTTCACGAAAACAGATCTGAATGAAAGTATCAGCCACACACCAAAAATGTAAAAACTGAGTAAAAAATTACTTCTCCGTGAATAGTCTCCTGGCCAGTTTGAAGCATGCGCGGTGTATTCTACGTGCAGTTTACGCAACTTCAATTAACGTAAATTAACCCACCTAATATATGGTCATCATAGACAAGACATAGTTTAATCTGTGCCGTCAGCCGGAAAGGGACAAGGCAAGACAATGGCGTCGCCCTGGAAAGAAGTTAAGTCCGGTGGCAGTATCAAATGGGTTCGGGCGTAAGCTGATGGTAGCACATGCAATGGACTTTAGGGACATTTGCTAGTATGAGATACCCAGTGAAATTAAAAAAATGAATGCAGTCCTCTAACTTTATTTCTTTGGTAGACCTGAAAAGGGTAACTGGTGGGCAAGCATATCCTGCTATCGATATATATATCGACAAGCCATAAATAAAAACAAAATTATATATGGTAACGCAAATGGTTGTAGACCAGGAGGCGCCTGAGCGCCGGGACAAGTGGGTCAAATAAAAGAAGTTACCTCTAACACATTAACTGAAAATCACTATTCTAGTCCATTTAGTTAAAAGGTTATTCGATTTCATAGTCGGTCGGATTTTCTTGTTACAGCCTGATAGATAAATCTTTGAAGTTTTATATCTGGTGGTTATTGCCGCTAAGCATGGCTTCAGACGCTTCGATCCTTTCAGTGCCAAATGAACCATGTCTACGCCCTGTTTCCAACCTAAATTACCTTATCTCATGTCTGTAAATTTAGCAGCTAAAGGCGTTATTACTGCTCAGTCACTGAGACACTCCATTCGTATAACCCAACGCAAGCGGACTATAAAAGGCCAATGAACAATTAAAAAACAAAAAACAAATTTCTCGTTTATTAGAGCTTCGACAGTAGCAGCTTGCAGTGTTCATAACCAACGGAATTTTTACAGGCTTGTAGTCTGTAGCTCGATTGTGGTCATATTTTCGAAGGACGCTTTTACGAAGCGCAAATGCCTGTGGTATTCCCCATGTGTTCCGCGACTGACATCAGGTTTGTTTCTACCGTAAACGCTAATTCTGGATCAACTAACCTGTGCGTCGTTGATCTATGTAGAATTTGCCTAATACCGGTAATGGGACGATTAATGCAAAGTAGCCAACAACTGATTTGAACCTCATTTTTTATTTAACATACTGATATAGGGTGTTGGAAAGCTCTAGATCAATGATCGACGTCAATGTTCTATAGTAGCCTTTTGTTCTCACAGAGATTTGGCACAAGGTAGCTCGCTGAGTGTACATCACATAAGCCCCGGATCGGTATTGTGATTATTCCGTTCTCGGACAATGGTCTTTTTGCCCACGATACTAACAAGAAATTTCCCATGATTCATACAAGAATGGAATGAATTATTTCTTGTACTTTATATTTGTTAAAGTCGCGAAAGCAGTTTGCTTTTATATTTGAAGCAATAAATCAACATGGGCTGATTTATTCTCAGATGGTTTTATGTTGTCAAATATGTATCGATTTAATCGAATGAAATCAAGGGTGGCTCGTTCGACGTGTACCAGTGATTGCTCATTTCGATACAGGAGCTTGGCATAAGGCTTCTTGATTACTTCGAGAAACGCAATTTTCAATCTAACTCGTCTGAAGTTTGCCAGTATTCTTCCGAAACGAACACACGGCTAACTGGTAATTACTGTCAACTCGAAACTCTTAAAAGCAGCTACCTGCAGTAACATAGGATGCATTTCTTTCGTTTTAAAGGTCGCGCTTGTTTATGTGTTTCCTCCATCTGCATTTTTTGAGCAGAAGGGATTTTCTCGGACGGATCGTTTAGCGAAATCGACCAGACCCGCTGAGTTCGATTAAAGCACCTACAAAAGTGTCCATCACTCATTTCGGCTTTTTGGATAATTATCGGCGAAATGTCAAGATCGAACAGACACTTCGTTGATACTCATTCAACAATTTATGGCAATTTTCCTCAGCACTGCCTACTCATTTCGTCGTTTTTTCTTATTATCCAACCTATAAATCAGAGCAAAGAAGGCTTTGATCGATTTCTCAATGCGCTACCATGTTCGCTACATACAGTATATAAAAAATTGAACGAGGTAATCTTACACAGCGGCTAATGAGTACTGCTTAGTAACTCAGGTCATTTTTAGGCTTCGCGAAGGAAATGCACCATTAGTTTCATCTGGTTTCTTCATAGATTCTAATATGGTTACATGCGCCTATTGAAGAGTGCTAAGTTTGAGTGGCGGTTTACGATTTATTCTGATTCAGTTTTTGACGTATTATGTACCAATGATTTTTATACGAGTTACAGAAGCTTCAGCAACGAACGGAATCGCTGGACGAAAAAGAGCGCCTACATCTCGAGGGTGTCTGCGCAAAAGCCAACGTGAGTAATTGTTTACTGATCATTGATTTCAAATGTTGTTGTTGGAAGTCTTGAGTCATCGATATAAAAAATATTTTTAGTTCATGATAACTAATTTAATTATATTCTGATTCTTTGATCCTTGGTTCCTGATCTTTGGTTTTATTAGCCTGAAAGTAATCCCTATGATTAAAAAAAAACGCCAAACCTGCAAACATATCATGACTTAATATTGTGACTACCAATTTTCATCTATATAATCAACTAATTAGTAGGTACCTTGCTTGTAGTATATGCTTAGGCTAGAATCTATATTCCATTATGGTATTTAAAAGTATGCTCACGAAAATTATTAAGTTTTAGGTCCTGATTTTTGCCAGCCGTTGCGTTTATCTTCATATATTCTATTTGAATTATCTAATTTCAGAGATTCCTGGAAACGGTGAAGCACTCAATTGTATCCTTACAAATAGCAAAGGTAAATGTTTAAAGCGACCCGAATAAGCTATACGCGAGTCAAAAATAAAGCAATGTCTCTTTGGGAACTTGCTGTTCAAGAAAGTGTTGCTTGACGCAGAAGTCCGTTCGTTGTTTAAATCAAGTCAGCAACTTTACCACTCTGTCAGGCAGATCTTTTGAGCTGAAATAAGTGAAAAACATCCGTAAATACGCACAACGCCTTTTGTATTTAGAAATATTTCGACATGATGTTGTCCAACTAGTAATAATGAGCTAATTGAAAAAACCTTACTTACGTATCTATTATATCTAGTACCAGAGATTTGTATCTATCGTACTGGTCTGTTGGTTTGCTCCTCTGGAATAATCTATGTAATGTGATTGCTCTATTCAGATTTAATGGGCTGGTAGCATTTTACTTTCATATGTTCGGCACTGTATGTTTTGACGATTGATTAACTAAACATTTGCTTTTCTTTATAAATAGGCACTTTTGCCCCTATTTATTTTGCTACTGCCATCATACGAGCCCAATAGTGAAACACAAAACGGGAATCGACTAATGGCCTCAAAAACCGGGCGGAACCTCCGCGTTGTAAACCCCCATTCATTTCGTAGCCGTTATTTAACCGGCCGAGTAACCTGATGGGCAGAGGTTACATTCGTGCGGTGCTAAAATTACATTGTTCATATAGTCATTCGCAACTGAACGCTCGGCCGGTTTTATCAATTGGGCGATTTAATCGCGTAACCCAAACAAGGCTTATAGTAAGTTTCTGGTGAACTGCTTTGAAATATGAAAACTCAACGTCGTTGAGTTTACAACGATATCGGTAGAATTTCAGCCAAGGCAAATTTTGGCGAAGGGTTCTGTCTTCCGTTGAATTATCAACGATTGAAATACAAAATATATAAAAAAATGCAATACATAGAAAAAATATTAATGTTTTGCAATCCACTCGAAATAAATAGTTCATTCAGAAGAGATGCAGTCGTTCTTTTCCTTAGTAAGGTTCTACTTTACAGAAAATGCCGTCTTCTATGCAGCACTATTTATTAATGGATGTACGCATGATGAACTGTTAGGACCAGGAAAAGCCTATTCTTACATCTAATAGCGTCGATAATATTCTCAATTGCTATTATTTGGTGATGCAGAATACAGCAGAAGTATCCAGTGCCTGCGGCGAGCCTTTGGATGCTAACGGAGGTTCCCTACAAAGCTTACGATCGCCCACTGAATCACTACAAATTTCCGCCTTTAATTCCTCAGGTAAGCGACGTATTTGATGCCTTTTTAAGTAGCTAAACTGTTCAATTCGTAGTTGTAACGATAAATGTTTTGCTTTAGGAAATGGTCCCTAGGTACTCTTTATAATTCGTAAAGCAAACTAAATTTAATGGCTCATACTTGAGACCGGCGAACTAGCCATCTGTAATGGGGCAGTATTATGTATACAGAGTGCATATCACGACAAGCAATGAGTGTACGTACATGGACAAGCAATAGCTGGTTCAAACTGCTTCACACTAAAACTGATATTGATCATCGGCGATAAAATTCCAAAAAGGCTATTTAATCTTAATTGCGATAAAAAAGAGGTTGATAATTAGACTCCTATAATATTCTTTTATCTAGATGATTTAAGTGCATCTATAGTGTGTCTTTCGTGGGAGAACTCTGAGTACTTTGAGTTTGTACGGGTAGAACTTTTATGTAGCAGAAGAACTTTCTGTTAAGAGTATATGTAGTTAAACCTAGTCAAGGAACTGCACATAAATATACGCTGCCGCAAGTTATGAGGCATTCCGGGGCGAGAGTCATCCAAGAGAGAATATACTCACAAGTAGAAAGGAATATTACTGGAATATCTACTCAAAACATGCACTATGTACTCAAGTAGCGCTACCGTCAGCGGTTGTCTGCTAAGTTTTTCAACTTACTCTAGTCTCCGGGTTGGGCTATAGTTCCAGCAACTTCATATTCTTCATCAGAGGACAGTGTCGAAGAGAATTCAGACGATTTCTTCGACGCATTCGAAGACGCGGTGAGCGAAGCCACCGAAGGTACAGAGACCCCTTCGGAACCCCATCACAAAGGTTCTGCCGCTGACAGCCTCATCCAAGACGATCAGGGCGAGATGTTCCGAAAAAGTCGCAAAGAGGGTCACGTGAACAACAGCCGCGTGACCTCCGCAAAAAATCACCACATGGTCAACAGTCCGTCCGAAAGTGAGTATCTCGTAGATCGGGTAATCTAAGCATATTTGCATTTATTCGACTCCGAACCTGACAGCTAAAGTATTCGGGTTCACTAATCATAAAAGCATGTAAAGTTGATTAGGAAAATGTAATGCGTTCAAGTGACTGACTGTGAAGTTCGGCTCGGTGACTTTCATTCCAAAGTTCGCTGTCGAATAAACGTGGATTACATTAATTATGCTAAATTCGCTCCTTGTCTAACACATCAGTTATTCCTAGGCTACCTGCGCACTCACCTTTTTATCTGAGTACGTACGTCTGCCCGGAAAATCAGCCATCGTTGTCTTTTCCACTTGTTTACGATACAGTGTTAAAAAACATAACCTAACCTAGGTCTACACACAACAGACGATGTTCAAGTCAAAAATATCTGTCAAGTACTGACAAAAATTCGGGGATTTGGCGTACACGCATGTAATACGCAAGGTGTCCATTTCTTTACAAATGCTGTACGGCAGCGGTATCTGGATACAACTTTTGCATGCGGCAATCCTTAGTGCCGTTATTTTTTTTATACTGTCGTATATATTGTTGCTGTCACGTATGTGTTTCCTGCAGTGCCACGTCCTCGTGTCTAGGCAAACTAAGAATACAAAATTATTACTTTTGGCATCATATAGGATCCTTGACGGTGGATCTTATAACATGTTGTACGTGGGTTGACAGCTATAACATTGCAAGTGTGACAGTGAGCCAGCGGCAGTGGTAAAATGCGCTCACTCCTAATAAGTAAATAATTAACTTAATGCAACGTCATGTTCATTTCGCTCATGTGAATACATCACAGATCCAGTGGCGTTAAGACGGCTATAGAAACTAAGGTGGCACCGGAACACCATAGGAGACGAAGCATGAGTTAACTTCTTAAATGTTCTTTGCCGCCATTAATTACCCTGTAAGTGGCTAGCGAACTTAGCGCAGTAATTTCGAGTGAAACTAAAACAAAAAAAGGCGGAAAAAACAAAAAACGCGACTAAAAAAGGTACAACGAATGATTCAGACGCGAAGTAGCCTTAACTTGAACAGTGAAAGAGCAGACTTTTTGCCTGTGAAGTATGGAATGGGGGTGATGAATTGTGTTTTCACTTCGAGTTGTGAACGTATTGAGCGTTCGATATATTAAAAGTTGCAACAAAAAGTTGCAGGCCGGGACTATCTTTCGTTTGATTATATAGCGATTCCATTAAGAATACGATCGTATAAGGCTTAGTAACTGAATTTGCCTAAATACGTTCTTAGCGATGGAGTGGAAAGCACGTTGGTATTTAGCCATTAGTAGAAACAAACTATGTTTTTAACAAAAAATCTAAAATCTAAAGTAATGTTGTTTCCTTTTTACGAAACTATAAAAATAAGAAAAGTTAATAATTTACTTGGCATCATATATTTACTATAATTCGGCCACTTAGGTAGACTCCCTGAGAAAAAGCGTTATTGGCCATTCTTTACTTTGGTGCGTCTCATGTATAGGTTCAAAGTCATACAAGGGGTATCTGCTGTTCACATTCATCGATGATTCTGTATGCTCGACTTGAATGCTGCTTATCTGAAATTACACTGCGCGTAATTTTAAGTTTTTGTCACCTTAATTGCGAGACTGCAATTTTGGATTGAGTTCTTCCATAAATTATTCGTGACCATGCCATTCAGAGTTAGTGGCATAAGTTTCGAAGCTTTTTTATTAACCTGTGATGACCTTCACGAAACGCGGACGGCTGTTAATTGTTTATTTCATTAACTGAGGAGTATTGCTTTGCGTTTGCGAAGTGGTTAAGACACAACACATGCTCAAGAGGCATAGTTGAATTGTGTTTATCTCATCAATTTACGTAATATCTGCATAAAATCAAATAATATAAGGTCCATGCTTTCGTGGTAGGAACTGTAATGGTAGTGTTCGTAATAGAAGAATTCTTTTTTGAACAGATAATTTTGTCCCATTGAAAATCGTTATGTCTCCGATGACGTTCAAACTCAGCCAGTATATTAGGTCCATAGCTAGGTAAATGTGTTAAATTTGCGTCCGGTGCGCATTTGTGAACCTAATCTTCACCAACTGGAGAAAAATATTCGTTCGAAGAGGTTTTTAACTTACATAAAGGTGTTCACCTAAAGAGCTACTAGCTAGTAGTAATGGTACCGCGAGTAAAATATGACCTTTTATACTTGTAACTTATTCGACGCTAACGATAAATAAAGGGAAATCATTATGACATAGGCTACTGGCATTATTAACCGAAAAAGTTATTCATATTTTCTTTTGATTGTAGATTCTGCAATCTGTGAACCTTCGGCCGATGAATTTGTACCTTTCAAGCCGCCGCCTGAAGCGCCGTCATATATGACCCCAAGTGATTTCGATCAACTCTATGAGGACCAGTCCGAACCTGCCGACTCGAACGCCAATTATAGGTAAATGAACTTGTCAGTCCTCTGGTTACATGAACATGAACAATGAAAATTGGACTTCATAGGTAAGCATCTTTTTAGTTTTCGTTTCGAGCAGACATAACTCATTGCTGTAATAACAAATTTTTCATGGTCACTACCTTACTAGCAACGGATTTCAAGTTTTTCGCGCTGAACTCATACTAGCCATTGGACATATATAAGATTATATCTTCATGTTTTAGGTCTGGTGCTTTAACCGTTAGGCATTATTTCAGACGGCTAGTTCTCACTAGCACGAAATTAAGTGTATTTACGCTAGGTTACAAGCTAAACAACTACGTATCCTTAAGTTTAGCACGCAAACACGTTACCCAATATGCTATTACGGAGCAAATAATGAATATAATGTATAATCAACGAAAATATTCATAGGGGCTTGCTCAAGCATTTCAAGAAGAAGGAAACTAACAACTGATATTCAAATTTCAAGAGTACCTAAGAGATATGGTACAAAATACATAGCAAAAAAATAATTATATGCAACAATAACATACAAGAAAACAAAATTATGTCTTCAAGGGCTTTTTCGGAAAAATTAATTGAAGTTTCCAATATTTCAAGCCATTTTGGCATAGCGATGTGGTGAGGAGCAGTAATTAAAAACAACAATGAAAATTGTTCCTTTTGATTGATTACAATAAAGCAAGTGGACCAAGGTGCAAACACGCTGCCTTAAAAAGTCGGTGTTTTGTCTCCAGAAATAGCAGTGCGTTACTCTACCAAAAACGGTCATTACATTTGACTTTCACCTTGAGGCATAGTGGAGATACTCCCCGCAAGAAAGCTAATGGAACGAATCTTTCTGTCAGATATGGCTCCGCAATCCATTTTTATCAAGTGAATCTCATGTCTTGCAGCTTTTACCAGCTTTATTGTTGCACCTCATATTTCCTTTATAGCACTCCAAGATTACACTTAATAAGCCTTTAGTCTTTTTTTTAAGCTTTTTAAACTGGTACCCTGGTTACTGCAATGACCATCGTGACTATATTGTGCAATTAAATTTTCAACTTGTACTCGGCAGACAAAAAGATAAGCTCTTACATATAGGTATTTAGGGCATTTTCGTTTACGCTATTATGCATTTCCTATGTATGAAGCGGAGGCTAGTATGACCTAAGCGCGGCAAATTCGAAATCCGCTGCGATGTCGTTGCAATCCAGAGAAGCACCGACTTCTTGGATCATCATCGGCTATCTGTCTCTACAAAGGAGGAAAAACACGATGAATGAATTCAGAATATATAGGTCTATTGATATTACCCTTTTACTCCTTCAAATGTTACCTAATTGAACTGTGTTATATTTTATTATTTGTGCCAGCGTATTGTCGCACTTAGTATCGCAGGTCCGCATTGGAATGGACCTTACTAAGGTTACATTACCAACGTTCATCCTTGAGCGGCGGTCGCTGCTCGAAATGTACGCCGATTTCTTTTCACATGCTGATCTCTTTGCAAGGTGAGTGCGTAGATTTTTATATATTATTAAATACAGTCTCTCGAGCAATTGTCATTTCTCAAAAAGAATCTGGATTACTGTAATAGTTATTGTGAATATTCTACCCGCGTCGGATATAGCCCTATACTTTCGCAGACCATGTTATGCTAAGCCTTACAGTAAATGCATAATTATATTGGCTTATAAATTCTTTTTACAGTATCGTGGATCAGGACACAGCTGAAAAGCGAATGGTAGAAGTGGTCCGGTGGTACTTGTCTGCGTTCCACGCGGGCCGAAACGCCGAAGTAGCCAAGAAACCATATAATCCGATTTTGGGCGAGATCTTCAAATGCCACTATGCTTTGCCTTCGCCGAATATTGCAGAGGTCCGGATCATGTAGTAGCTTTTAATAGTTCTTCGCATAGTCTTATATAGACACCCGATGAGTTAGTGTGATAATTAATGGTGATTCCGTTAGAGTTATACATAACTTAGTATACTTTCGGGTATATACTTTCGAGGACATCATCAACGGATAAGCTGCATATTCTAATCAAACTGTCAATGTGGGGTAATGATCACGTGGAATTACAGCGAAAGGCAGCTAGCGATGGCCCGTGCCCATGGGCAGCTGAAGACGACGTGACGTTTGTGGCTGAACAGGTATCTCATCATCCACCCGTCAGTGCCTTCTACGCCGAGTGTGCGTCTAAGGGCATTACGTGCTCCGCCCACATCTGGACGAAAAGCAAATTTCTCGGATTATCCGTTGCAGTACACAACGTTGGCCAAGGCTGCATAAGCTTTCAGCGATTCGACGAAGAGTACACCTGTACTTTTCCATCAGCGTACGCGCGGTCGATACTCGGAGTGCCGTGGGTAGAGTTGGGAGGTGAAGTTACGATCAATTGTTCGAAAACCGGTTACAACGCAAAAATTGACTTTCTTACGAAACCGACGTTTGGTGGTAAGAAACATCAGCTTAAAGGGATGATTTTCCGGCCGCAGACAGACCCCAGCAAGACACTCCAGCCGTTCCTACAGATACAGGGGGCGTGGAATGACGTGATGACAGCAAAAAATGTGGAGACAGGGGTAGGAGATCTTATCGAATCTGAACTAAAAAATGGTTAAGGCAGTGATTTCGTAGCTTGTTAAAATGAAAAATACTTTTTTATGGAATTGACTAATGATCTTCTTGTTTTTTTCCGATTTAGGGTATTTGTCAAGTTTTGCAGATTATTAATATTATAATTTGCTTATTTCGATGATGCTTTAGGAGACCTTTGAGTTCTTCAATCCACACACGACGCCGACAATTAAAAAACAAGTGCGGCCAGCTGTTGAGACACTTTCATACGAATCTCGGCGACTATGGATGAACGTTACCTACAACTTGCGTGAAGGCAATGTCGACAGGGCGACGGAACATAAGAGTTTCCTTGAACAGCGGCAACGAGATGAGGCCCGACAGCGAAGCGAGTCAGGAAGACCCTGGCGGCAGCGGGTAAGTTGTTACAGAGATGTCCTATTTGTTCAAAACGTCTAACATTGAGTCTTTGTCATTCGTAAATTCGCATTTTATTGTTCCTTGTTATTTTCAGCCCAGATACTACAGCTACAAACCTAATGGTAGCCCTAGATCTCTCTTTTCGTTGACCGATTTTCCTTTACCAATTCATTTGCAGCTGTTCAGTGAGAAGGGCGACAATTGGGTATACAGAAACTCTCTTGAAAAGCGGTTAGTCGGGCGGTAGTTCTAGCCTTTAGCGAACCTGACGCTATAACAATGGTACTACCGCTAAAGCACATGATGAAGCTCAAGTACGTTTCTCCATTGCCGACTACATGCAAAGCAGAGATGGCACTTTGATCAACTGGAATAATATCAGCCGTACCGGTAACAGGAGACACGTAACTTCATCGATTTTGTTTCCGAATGGAGTAATGGTAAACATAACCAGCTTAAAACGCCAGCGTGGCTGTATACAAGGGCTTTCTGGAGAATGCCTGCTGTTTAGAAGTTGACAGATAAATATACAAATGCACGAAACCGTCGAAAACAGGTGACAGAAGCGCAGGGCCAGTGATCGCTTCTATAGGAAAATTAAATAACTGTAGATGTTATTGTTGGGCGATACCTTAACGGCTTTGGCTTTTCTGTACAAAAAATACAGCCCTTACTCATACACATTAAGGAATGATAGCGAAGTAGTTGGTTATAATTAGTAAATATCAAGACGAACTGAAACTTCCGTTTGTATATACATATATATACAATGTTTCAAAAGATCGATGTTTTACAAGAGTGACTTGTCATAAAACGAACTCCACAAGGTGCTACTTTCCGTTTCCCTTTGCTGCGCCGCTTTGGTGCTGAACCTTCAGCTTTTTTTGAATCTTTTTTGGGTGGTTATCTCTCTCATGAAGCTACAAAACTGCAACTCTTAACAATGAACTATTATATTGTAATATTGGCACTCCTATTAAACAGGACGCTGAGAAAAAAAGGTCTACTTTTTCGATTTCCAATGTTGATTTGCGTTGAGAACAGAAGCAATAAGAAAAGGTTCATAGTCACCAAGAAGGAAAAAAGTACTTGTTTTAAAAATTAATGAAAAAGTGATCTTATATAGATACCAAACCGATTCTTAGTTCCGAGAGAGAGGAAGGATCTTAGTACGTAGTACGTGTCACAGCAGAACCAGTGGGAATCGTGAATTCGGATAGGAGCTACATCCGAACAAATATGTAGAGTGTCTGCATTTGACACGCAGACTGGAGTCGCTTACGGAATAGGAAGTAAATAATAAGGAAATCGCACGGTTAAATGCATATGTTAAATGCTGTACCAGTAGCGTGTTGAAGCGTAGGAGCAAATGCTACGTAACGAAAACATATGTTCTCTATGAGCGGAACTTGCAGATAGGAAAAGGGCAAGAAAAACATTTTATTACCACAGTCACATCCGTTCGTTCAAAGAATGGGCAAGAAGTGGACCAAAAATTAATGGGTTCAGCCCATAGATTAATAGATCAATGATTATTCGTAGTTTAAAGGTGTAACAAATATATAGTAGGCGGAACATAATAAGAATAAAAAGACGCAATCGGTTAATGTACAAGTGGAATGGACAGATAAGCCTTGTACGAAGCTGGTAGGCCAAAGCTTACACTACGTCAAGGGCTTGCGTGCCGGTGGCTTTCTTTGAGAAAGGTCTTTAAAGGAGCCCTTATGTTTCTGTTTATGTGAAACGTTTCGGAGAAATGGGGCGTCCGGCAATGATTGTGGGCTCCAATTAAAGATGCCATAGCGGAAAAGATTCGCGTGCAGTTGGAAAAACTACAACAATAGTGAACGGGTAGAATCACCACTTGGAGATTTTCGATGTTCTAATGATACAGCTACGACGGAGGGCATTCTAACCATTAGGTAAGGACGAGACAGAACTAACGTAACGAATTTGATGTGGGTCGTAGAGATATAATAAGATATGGAGGCGTGAAATTGTGTGAACTCGTGGTTCCGATCGTCGTTTGAACAACTAAAAGAAAGCTATAGAAATGAGCGAAAGAAAGAATAATTAACTCAAGAAAAATGAAAACATGTGCTGCTAAATGATATATTGCAAGTAGCAATCATAATGAGATGACAATTATTATCAAGAAAGACACAAATAATAATTACCGTGTGAAAACATTCTGCGGAATTTGATTTATCAAAATTGGCCTTCTATAGATGGAAATCATGTAAATCGTATCCGATTTACTGCCGATTGCTGTCGATAGAGGCGCTATCTTCGGTTGCTCACACCGAACTTCAATTTTGTGGGCGAGACCAAATGTTGGCGAAGCGCTGAAACTCTGAAACGACCTATCGCATTAGCGAATGATATTGGGATTGTTTAACCGTGAGTTAATCAGAAGAAATCCTGTAGCAACAGAGAGATAGGTGAATAGAGTTAAACGTAGTTGTATTGACCTTGAAAAAAAAAGAAAAACTAACTACGAAACCAGTCGACTTGAAGTCTTAAAACTCATACGTAATTGCTATGAATCTTCATTAAACAAATACATGCAGCATGTTCGCGTAGTGTGGTATTGGAATTCAACAAGCAGAGGACTGGCACTGCACAATACAATATGCTGCCAAAGAAAACAATGCGGGGAGCAAAACTTGCAGTGAATCTAGCTAGAGCAAATATGTTTACCTTTCATATCATCTTACATTCAAATGGTTCATGCAGCGCAAAACAGGAAACTTATTTTCGGAACGATGTTCGTAAGGTCACTGCTTAAACTTGCTTAAAAGATTTATCCTTTAGTGATTTATGACGGTTCGATCACTGAAACTAGACCGTTACCGTGAGAGCACTCCAATCCAAGAAGGATCCGCGATTAAAATGAGAACAGCCTAATAGGGAAAAACTGTATGAAAGTTAAAGCAGCCTGCAGAAACTGTCGCCGGACACGCCCGGAAACCGCACCGAAGGGAAGGTGAGGAACGCCCGACGTACTACGCTATCTTCGTACCCATTGCCTTAAGTGACCTGTGTTATTAATTACAAGATATTTAATAATAATGGTAATAATTATGATAGTAACAATATTAAAAAATAAAACTTTTTGCAAAAAAATCGTGTGAACAGTCAGTGTGCTGTTTTGCTAGGTTGCTAGTAGGCCAAAACAGGCTTAATTTGCTCGCGGAATTATAATCTACTCGTGTTAAAGATGTTCTTAAAATGCCGGTCTTAGAAATGTAGTTCTTCCTACCTCTCTTTAGCGGTGCAGTTTGTGAACAACTGTCCAGTATAAAGAATATGATTTTATTACAGTATAAAGTAAATAAATAAAAAACGCGTACATTACGAATTTTTGACAGCACCAAGGTGAGAAGCAGTGAGTCGGATGCGTCACGCTATGAATAAGGAAAACGTGTCGGATATGGTTTCTTGGATAATGGTGGATCGTGGACAAAGCAGCACGATTTCTCTATGGAGGAGGCATAGATTTGAGAAGTATTAAATTATTTAACTTGATTGGTGATAGTGGAGCCCAATGCAAGTCAATTAAAGGTACGTAATTCAGTCCGTTAGGCGAAGTCTCTGCTTTAATGAAATCGCCCGGAATCCACCCTTCTACAATGACTTTTGGATTCTGACGATCGATTGCGGTAACTCTTGATGGCACAACTTTTAGGGGTTCCACAAGTAATGCGTAATAAGCGTGATTGGACAGACTGGGCTGACGAAATACAAAGGAAATATAAGCTTCACTGACATAGGCACATTAATTCGGATGAAAGCTGCGATGGGTTTATCCTCGCTTGTCGATACTTTCTGTTGAAAGATTATGATTAAATTTTTTAAATATCTTTATCAATTTTTAGAGCTACCTGTACTGAAATGCAGTATCATTTGATGTGGACCAAATGTAGTAGCACATTTCTGCCGGAATTGCCCAAGCAAAGTTTACCCTTTATAATTAGCAAGCTCGGCGGATTAGTTGCGTTCGAACAGAGCTATTTCGATCCTTTTGAACACTGAAGCTATCTCGTATAGGTGTATTAAGCTTGTAACTCTAATTCAGCACGTATTTCGCACGAGTTCTTAGCCATAAGGCTAGCAGCGTGTCTAAAAAAAAAAATCTGTAGTTATTGCTATTGGTTTTGTAACGGGTGTGGACCGAAAGCACGTGTTCGACAATATCCGCATGTAGAAACGTCGCTTATCCTAACCATAAATGTCTTCTCTTTTTAGTACACAAATACAGCCATCAATTTTTGCTTTGTACATCGCATCATCTTGGATTTGAATCGGGAAACGTTTCTTCTGGAGAAGGCGAAGAACAATGCATAATTAAACTATCTCGTTAGAGCTTAGTACCGTACGCTATCGGTAGTTGGCTGTCCGGTCTGTCGATCTTACTTGATTTATCGAAGCTTCTATCAGTCATATAAGACATAAGACGTATAAAGCGGCATTTTTATAATGGCAACGCAAAAGATGTGCATTATCAACCTGCATTACGCTACTCACACTTATTTAGGCCTGCGGCAGCTCGGACGAGACTGTTTAGTTTTCCTAATCAGATATTTCTCTCAGTTAAAGTCAGAAGGAAAGGATCAACTGCCGTTTGCTAAGCCCAATTTCAAAATCGATTCGAAGTTTGGAATCCATTCACTTTTCTTATTAATTTGCAGTTTATGCAGGCAGGAGCTTTTACGTGACCACGTTCTTGTTTTGCAGCGTACTGTATGTACGTTTACTACGGACGTACGCACGATGTCAGCATGCTTTGGTAATTAAGTTGAACCTTTTAATTTTGGTATTACTATAATGTACACGTTGTACACGTACATATACAAGTTGGTCATTGATTAATCGAAGAAATAACATTAAATGGAATCTATTTATTTCATCTAGCATTTTCAGTCTAGCGCACTGGGGTTCCGTTACAGTTTTCACACTCTCAAGTCATTTTTCCTACATAAACAGTAAAAACCATAATAAATATTGTAAATATTGTAATCAATGTATAGAGGAAATCAATGTTTCATGACACGCAAAAATTCTAGTTTGTGTCGTGTGCATAAAAGCACCTCGAAGCAAAGAAACAAAATGTGCTGTAAGTATCTCATATTATTTAAGTAGCAGCTACACGGACGATTAGCTTATATTCTCACTATAGGGAAACCCTATATCCTAATTCAGTTGTACGGCGTAGTGCTGTTATAACGTAGGTTTTTACTATTTTCTCATTCGACATTATAAGCTAGAGCTTTTCCGTCGGGTGACCATATTATAACTATAAATTGGGCCCTGAGAAATAATTGGTCTTTTTGGGAAGCTATATGGCTTTGTGTTGCTCTGTACTTAATTAAGCACAATTAGCGTCCATTGGTGCATCTTAATAAATCTACAGAATCCTTCGAAGCATCGAAGAACCTATAGTTAAGCTAAATTAAGCTAGCTAAGACAATCAAGCATGTGGAAGTTATCGATTATTCATGTAAAACAGATAAGGTTATTAAAACTTACTTATATCTATCGTGATAGATGAGGATCTATAATGAGGATCACTCAATGCGCTCTCCAAAATGTTACGAAGTTGCACCTATATTCACCTCACTGATATGGTCTGCCAATAGTATATAATGGTGTCCAGTGACGATCGGATCGGGGAAGTGTTGAGCATTTCGTAAAAAAAAAAACGCTTGTGTTTTCTCACTGTACAAGGTTGAAATGTCTTTCTACGACATTTCAACAATTCCTAATTGTTCCCGGATATTTAACCCTGCATATGTTTTCAACTAGTTTTTTAAACATAAACTTTGAATTTCTACCGTGTATTCAGTGCCGGTATATCAGCTGAAGTGTATCGAGGTACAAGCACGATCAAAGGTTTTTGATCTTTGGCCGACCTTGATATAGAGTGCTACAGATGTTTGCGAGCTATGAAACGAATCTCTATTTCATGACGGAAGCTATCATTTTGTTATTGGAAAACCCTCAAGAAGAGCAAATGTTCTTCAATTTTTGGGTAAGTCGTCCCCCGTGCAATTTTTTATTTCTGCCCGTATATCACGCCTCGTATATGATGTGGTCGTCATTTCACCATGTGAATTTGCATAACCCATGTTCGTTATTGCTGCTCATAGCGCTTCGACTCGAGATCTTTGCTATAGATTACATGACTTACGAAACGGCTAATACAACCAGCTTCACTAATTGTTCGGGACTTTGCTAATTAACCGGGAGACCTTTTTGACATAAACTGGCATAGATGCATTAAGATTCTCCGGTAATCACAAGTACATTACGTTGACTCCTAGCTCTGCTAAAACGCTGATGTTTCTCATTCCCAAAGACCTGTTTCCATGACTTGTCATATTTTACAAATAAACATAAAAAAAAAAACAATAAACCATAAAATCCATATTAAATAGACATATTTTGAAAGACATAGTTATGTTGGTACATGTTTTCAAACATTTTATTATTACTTTTTAGCTACAAAGATTATTACTCCTTAGTGTCATATATGTTACGTAATATATTAATTAATACAACATTAATCCATGTTTCGTGTATACCCTACATCCCATATGATCTACTATATAACTTGATAAGTATGACACTATGGAAAACTCGTAGATTTTGTGTGCCTTATAATTAAAACTGTGTTAGATGAAATACATAATTGGCGAACAGCGAACCAGTGAATATCATTACTTCGCAACTGTAGATTATTATTACTATAACCATAATGTTATTGTAAAGAAGTAAAAATTAGCAATAATAAAATAAAAGTAAAAAAGACGTTTTTAAAAATTCATGAAGCTTAACTTTTTAGTTCTGAAACTAATTTGAATGAAGACGTTTCATTAGGATCAAAGGAAGTTTGGATAGCTAAAATTCTGTTTTTTGCTTCATGCAAGTACAGCCCTTCACCTGCGCCTCTAATGCGCTTCGGGTTACTCCTGCACTTTCGTGATTCTGTGCCTACAGATTTTATGTGAAATTGCGACAAACCGCTCAAGAAAATGGGATCTATTATGGAAGGTAAGGTAAATTGCCACTCAGCTGAAATTATCATCTACTAGAATTTTCCTTAACTACATATCAGTCGAAGTCGAAACGCTGTCTATTACGGTAGCGTAAAAAAGTTTTTCCAAAACGAATAAATGTAGTAATTGCCTGCTAAAAGGTTACCATAGATATGTAAGTATTATCATAGCTGGTGGCATCTATTTGAACTGAAACATATAATAGATAAAAGTATAAAACTGCTCTAAAGAAAGGATTTGAAGCTTCCCTTACCAATTCAACCTGTAGAATTAGATCAATTACAACTAGATCAATCTCGTCGTTTATTTCCACCTTCGAGAATTTTCATTATGCACTCAAGGACAATTCACCTTCGAAAGTTACTCGTGTGTGACAAAACACGGTGTGCGTCATCCGGCCTTCCACGACGGTACCTTGTCAAGTTATTGTTGCGCCATTTCCTAGGGTTTATACATATGACTTAAGAATTCCACTTTAAATGGGCTACACAAAAAACTAACACAGTGGTGGTAATAAAAGTGTAGTATCCTTTTTTGTTATTGTTTTAGCTTATACTGCAATAATATTTCGATCTTTCATCCTTTGCACAATAATCGCCGTTTCCGTTAATCCAGGTCGTATTTCTATTACAGTCGTCGCTGTCGCAGCGGTAGCCCCTACTGGCGCTGCAGGTTCTATTGTTTCATTTGTTGCTTCTGTGCCACAGGAACAATGCACTGACGTTAGAATAATTGGCTGCAGAAGCCAAGAAAAGAACGGTGGCCTGTTTATTCGCTTCTCAAGAATGCCCAACCTAACAAACAATGAAGACGAGGAACGAAAAGGTGGCTTATCAGCTTCGTGTCCCTGTCGGGGACCTAGGGAAGCCGTGGAACACGATTTTCACGTGTTCAAGAGCCCAGTCGATGATTTGATATCGATAATTGAAAACATTTCTCGAACGCTTTTATTATAGTCTAAGCCCTCGCGGCCTTGTGTGGGTGCGAAAATCAGGAATCTCAGGAATTACTGTCTAAGCGATATTTTCCTATATAATAAGTTGATTTTTCTTGATTTGTTTGTTTAAATAAATTAATAAATGTAAAATATATATATATATATATATGTATAGTGTAATTAATTGTAAGCGCTAACCTCTAATAGGACCCCAGGCCGTATATGGTGAAATCTTTTTCCGGTTAACCAATGTTGCCCAAAAGGAGAAGCAATCTAAGCAAAACAATAAACTCGAAAAACGATGCACCCGAACATCTAGTAATCTAGATGTCGTGCACAAGTGACTGCATCCTCTGGGCGCGTTCCAGTGGCGTTGAGTCCGGCCGCAAACGCTAGCGAAATCACTATAATAGCCATCTCCCACCGCGATTCTCCTATCGTGTGCAACTAACATTTGCTTTTTTAAATATATATATATATATATATAGCTTATTTAACGGCATTAATGTTAATATTTGATAGTCAGTACAGCTTATCTTCGTGATAACATGTCTGCCTAGTTAAGTTATGAAACACTACGTGACTTGAATTTTAGGTCCGGCAGAGCTTTCCATCAGCATGTCATCAGACAGCTGGTCTCGAAACGAGGTGTCTGTAACCGGGATCAAACTTAGACCACCATTGACCCCGAGCAAATATGGGTGTAGAAACGGAAATTTTCTAGATTTAAAACCTGGGTTTGAAAGACACGCGTCGTTTCGTCCTAAAACTGCTTACTCACCCGTTAAAATTAATATCTAATAACAAAAGAACACCAGATGTAAAACCCGGAGATTTAATGCTGCTTTTAAAGAAATAAGAAAAAAACACACTTGACCTGCTGCGCGATGATCACTTAGCATTTAAAAACAAAAAATAGGATTAAAAAAGTAAGTGTTTACTTGTATATTAAAGCATCTAGTTATTGGTCAGAGGGTTGCTAGGCTGTTCTGCTCAAACTTTGCGATTCATTTGTAACTTAGTTTGATAATACAATTTCATTTAGTCGTGACCCTAAATGTTTGAAACATATTAATTTCAAGTGCATAGATGTTAAATCTTAAACCCTAATAGCGGACCGTACGATCCACTGCAATAAAAAAATGTCCGCCTAGATCAGGGCAACATCAATAGTTCTAAGTTTGGTAAATTGGAAGCTAAAGAAAGAAATGTAGTATTTTATCCTGGCCCATTTGTCAGTGCAGCGAATTATGAACACTGAAAACGATGAACAAGTAACGGCCAGTCTTCTCTTTTCTTCCCAACCGTTTCTTGTGCTAGTTAATATTGTGCTATACATGATATGATAGTAAGTAACTAGATTTTATCAAGCTTGTTTGAATGTAATCCCAGAAACTGACTAAGACTCGGACTGCAAATAGTCCTACGCATGTGAGACTGTTAGAATTAGAGTCAAGCCCAGCTAACTAGAACCAGGTTTAAACAGACATAGTATGACGACTAAATTTTAATGCCTTATGAGCTTTATACTCTTCTGGTGAATCGCTGAAATACAATGGCAACAGAAAAACAAAACGATGTAAGCTTCGTAAAATCACGTTTGTTTGGTGTACAAGCCATTAACTGAAAAAATTAATTAAGTAATGTGAGAACATGTGGGCATTGTTTATTCGATTTTCGTTTTGTTACGTTATCTCGTATTTCAGTTTGGCCTTGACTGATTTCTGGCTCTTCCGTGTTGACCTAGACGTTCCCCTCTATCAGGTCTGTTTATATCGCGACCATTTACAGTGGCCGTCGGTCTTAACTGTCTTTCGTTCATCAGACGTTTTCCTACAACACACACATACACTACAATTGCTTTGTCAGTGCTCTTTCAGAGAACTCTTATGGTTGTACCGTAATGAAGTAATCCATAGCCTTTAATTGCTTCTGTTTCGTCCTTAAATACCCATAAACGTCTTGTAGAGCGAAAAATAAAGCTATTACAAATAAATTAATCAATGTAAACTGAATAGGCTCGACACGCGTATCAATTATTTGTCAAATAACGGCTCGCATCCATCGAGTCTTCTGGCTACAGATTGTAGCTAGTAACAATATACATAAAGTAATTGCATTTATTTTTATACACAATTCAGCAGCAAAAACAAGATCAAGAAGTCTCAAAACGAATACGCTGGTAAAATACTGCACCTGTCCAAGCTTCAGTTTCGTGATTACGTAGAAATAATTTTTAAACAGATTTACAGCTGCAATTTCAGGCTGTAATCGTTTATCAGAAATGTTCTGCACACAAAAGCGCCAGAAAGAAAAGTTCCATCGCTACGCAAAAAAAGATTGGCATTTGTGAGGCAGAAATCTTGCAGTTCTAAGGGAAATACAGAAAACGAGGTAAACATGGCTTCAAATTAAGAGAAAGTGACTCGGCAACCGAAGAAAAGGAAAATTCTAAAAAAAAAGGAATTCAACGAGCGTCATCTGAGCGACTGCACGACGCTGGCGAATCGGAAACTAGATGCGAGATAATGTAGGTAACATTAATATACAAATTTTATTATGATATCGGTGGTCTTCAATTCGTCAATCGGGTGCTATTATATACATAGGTACAAATACCATGGTATGCATCGTGTAGACTAATTTTTTTATGAGTTAGCTAAGAATTTTGTTTTGTAAAAGTATGGCCCGAGACGCAGAAACAAGTGCCAACAAAAGAGTTTGAATACTCTAAAAAATGTCCTTGCTGTTTTTAGGTTCTTCACAGAGTTCAGGTTAGTATAACAGAAAAAACAACACTTTTCTAGAAGGTCAACTTTCGTGGCCAAAAATAGAATGAGGGTTTCCTTCTCAAGTCCATTATCGTCTAAAAGCGTTACTGATAATATGCACTACCTTATGAAATTCTCAAGAAGTCTATAATAATTTTTTCACAATAAACTACAATAAATTTATAGCTACCTACAAAAGCTTGCTTATTGTTTGTAGTAAACTGCTCCACGAATGAGGCCAACTCAAGTGCTTTCTAGACATTTGCTATTAAACGATGAAAGTATGTCAACTTTTTTAGAATTTCGAAACTTGTGGCGAGGCAGCATTGAGTTCTGAAGGATCCTGAGTTAGCCTAACTACTTGCTCATTTCATATTCAAAACATATGGTATAATTTACGGAGTCCAATCTATGTTGATTGTCTTTAGTTCACGGTGATTTTTGCGTAAAAACAAATGCAGGCCATTCTAGAAACACTTCCTGATCAGTGTTATCTTACCGGGATGTTGTAATCTGGACCCCTACATCCGAGACGGCCACTGGATCATTCACATCTCTTGTCATCTCTCTGATTATATTATTCAATTATGTTATTGTTCACTTGTGATAATACCATCTCGGGAGTATCAATGTAGCTAAAAATAAATATGTGCGTAAAAATCAAATCGATTCACTACTATATGGTATTTCTTACAAGGGATTCGTACGAAGTGCTCAGTCGATTATTACCTATCTGTTAGGTTCGTGAGGAAACGACGAGTCCACGCCGTATCGATGCCATAAACTACGCCTCAATGTCCGTTTCGGGCAGTGTAGATTATCTAGCTGATCTCATACTCCGTAATTTGATTATCTCCTATTTTTTACAGTTTGGCTCCTATTGGGCAGCGACAAATCGAGGCGATTTTTATTTCGGAAAATAAAACGAAAAAAGTTAATTTCATTTTCTTCCTGTCGCCACAGCCAGGAGCAGCGATCAGAACGGACAGCGATTCGTGTAGAGAGGTTGACGGTGCGTTTGCCATTTTGTTTTTCCGCCGAAAACGCCGATGGTGACGTTCACCATACCGACAGCATATTTAGAAGTAGGGGTACGTGATAAGAAAGGGTGTAAAAATGTCCTTCTCACAACGCTTCAGCGAAGGCAGTAGAGCGACGACATCTGATTAGTATAGTGGTGCAATTAGGCTAAAATCGAGCGGTAGGATCCGAGGACACGGCCGTGTTCTTCTGCTACTGCACAACCGCCACTAAACAAATGGCGAATGAAAATGAAGTACGATGAGCATTCACTTCAGATCATCAAAGTTAAATGACATTGCGATCTATTTAAGTCTATAATACATACATACATATATTTTCTCAGTCATTCATAATATCACTCAGACGAAAATAGCGAAAATGTACCTGGTTTATACGGTCTGTCGAAATACTTTTATGTTAGAAATGTAACCTTGGGTATTTTTGAGATCTTTCATAGTGCCTTTTACTAAAATCTCTTTTAAATAAGGTTACGGATCGATTCTAAAATATCCTATATTAAGCAGAGGCATAAAGAAACCGTACTGAGAAGAGCATATAATAAATGCTAATAATAATAATGCGACTATATAATTAAGCTTGTTATTCAAAGATAGACCAAATCTTTTCCAACCCGCTTTCATGTACACATCATTATTCTGTGACCCTTGATTGTACGGAAATTTTCGTTAAAAGTTTTCTACTTGTGTACTAGGACGGTTTATGACGCGTTATTTAAATACCTGAAGATTACGGAATGATACGCGTTTTAACAACCAGTCGAACTATACGATTGGATAATAAAGCAATTCTTGTCTATTATCTTGTCGGTGCCACATAATAATATATAGCATGTTTAACTACAGACATTTTCAGCCATCCCGTTCATGGGACTCAGCAGATTCTAACGTTTACTATTACCTCATCATTTACATCATACAAATAAATCCAATAAATGAATAAACGATTAAATTCGGGTGGTGGTAGGACTTCTTAAAGATATGTGGCTCGAATTTATCGGCAGTAATGCAACTCACCCGTCAACTTCGAAGTAGAGTAAAAAGCTATAATCTCTGTTAAGACATAACGTAAAATACTGTTAGAAGAAATGGTCGCACTACGTCGGGCTGTGCCATAGAAGCTGCCTTGCACGTCCGTTTATTGAAGGTCTGACATGGTGAAGGTGGTGCAAACGGCGACGGGAGTTTTAGTAGTCAAAATAATCGGTATTTATATCGATAAAATTTTCCACGCTTTATTTATGCTCTTTTCTTGTGTGGAAGTCAATTTTTTTCTTACTGACTTACTAGGTTACTATGAGCGCCCACACTCGGCTTGAACAACAACCTTGTGAATTTCACATGCTAAAAATTGCATACTGCATGCTCTATTGTTAGCTTACACCCATTGCTCTCAATGAGTAAATTAGTAGTCTATTCTGCCATGCATATCAATGTGCTGTAATTTTATTATTGATTACTAACAAATTTGCTCACTTTGTATATTTGCGTCAATATCTACAAAGCTCGCCTGAGCAGAGCTCTACAGGCGGTAACGCCCAACAATAAAAAACATTCGAGATAATTCTAGCAACAAACACGCTTGAACGGGGGCAAGTCCTTGATGTTCAAAAAAGTTCATATATTCTTCATATATTTACATGAGTACGAATGTATAAGCAACCTACCATCAAATATTTTTTATTCATGGCAATTAACAAAATTAAAGCTGGTTCGTTTAAGCGCTAAAGGCTTGACTTACCGCTACGTCGTACCGATCAGTTCTTGAGAAGTACTCAGGTCGGGTTACAATAAATTTACAGCGGTTAATTTTCGAAAACAGAGGACAGTAATCAAATTATTATAATTCTACATTAAATTATTTTACGTTAATTGTTATTTTTCTGTACCATGCATGTGTTCTTTTATCAGGTGACTTAGTTCTGCCATTTTCGGCCGAAACAGTTGCTTCATAGCTCATATGGTAGAGGTATGTCGAAAAGCTGTATTAATTCAGTTTTAGGACCCCGATAGTGTTTTTTAAGCCGCACTGGCACTCACACCAATCTTGACGTAGAAGTTTTGCGGACACCTGAAAATTTACCAAAAACTGTTACCACACCACGAACTGATGTGACTATGAATATGCATCTTTAACTTCTATTTGACAATAGCAATAACTTCTAAGCCTAATACGAGAAACTGACTTTAGTTCTATCAAGTCTGCACAAAATTCGAGTCAATAACCAACACACTCAATAGTTTCCCAACCAGAGTGATCTTTTCTGCATGACTTCATTTTCCGATACTGTTTTCGGCATTGAAGTTAGTATGCAAAATTAGAATCTGAGTCATCAAATCCTCCGATCATTCTAATCCTAATTATTGTAATTTTTATGGAGAACCTAATTACATTTCTGTACAGAAGATCATAATGTTTCAATGATAAATCTTTAAAAGACTTACCTATGGCAAAACACCACTCTCGAGCGGCAATCCATTTCCTTTTCGGCAGGTTCCTTGCTCTAAGAATCTATGATTTCGTGAGTGATCTCATTCGACAAACAGCATCGCTAACGGACATTTTTAAATGATAATTTCATGAATAAGCGTCACCTTTTTTCAATCCGTCACTGATGCTCATCCATGTTTGTTTCCTGTTCTATTTATTTGTTTTGCTTGACCTAGTAACTATAAGGTCATCCTTTTTCCGCCTATCACAGACCTATGCTGCATTATAGTTTAAATCTGACTTGTAATGAACCAACTGGAAAAAACTGACGGCGATATAACCGTTTGTCGCTTGCTTATCTACCTAATTGTTAATTCAAGTTGACCTCTTCGAAGTAATTCCCCCCGGATGCAATATGCCACCATTTTTTATGTTCCGCTCGTTGCTCCATTTGGAAAAAAAACCACAGAATGCTCACCATATATAATCCCACCGGAAAATTCGAGGTGACGTTGGATTCTTACAAAATTTCACTCATTTGCAGAAAATGTGCTCTTAGTTATGTTAAAAAAACAACATGGATGGCAACCGAATATTAAATGGCGCGAAAGTTCAAACAGCTTATTCATTTTTGAACAAATGGATATGATGACAATGAAATCATGTACGTATGGTATTTGCTGTGGCAAAACAACAGGCACTACATGTAATGTAAATAGTTGTCCCATTAATTTAGCAACTAATGTAGTAAAATTGTTTCTATAAATACTCTTCCAAATGTACATTTGAAGTTGATGTTTCGGCGAGAAACTAGTACTTGTGTGTATATTAGTGGTCGAGCCAGCTTTTGTCTTTATTAATTTTTTTTATTCATTTATTAAATTAACACACGTCTTTGCATGCGATCCGCAATATAGGAGAATTTGATCACATCTAAGGCATTTGGAACACGGTAACGTGATTTAACTCATTAGACCTATTTTGCTTTTAGCATGGCGGAGTTTGGTAACTATGGATAGATAATATTGACTTCTGCCCAACCTTGTAGACTGTCGCACGTAAGGCATCCGGTATAACTCCCGGTCGGTGAAAGGCTTGTAAAATATACTGCTACAGTATCATATGCTGTAGAGCATCTCAGATTGTAGCTGCAGTACGTGATTTGCGTTATCTGCTTGCTGACAAGGGGGATTATATTTGATCGACAGTTCTGATGCGTGGTTTCCGAAGTATTGGTGCTTAGAATTTCATGTCATTTTTTTGACCCAAGTGTAATAAACACACGTTGTGCCGAAATGTGAGAGAACTATAGCAGTCGCAATATACACTTTAAACGTAATAATGTATAGATAAACGCTCTGACTGCAGCACAAATCATAACTTTTATGGCTGTATGAATAGTATGTCAAACTCCACTTACCTAAAAGTCGTTCATTTTAAAAAGTTATGACACTCAATCAAAAGCATTTGAATCTCTAAGCTTCCCTCGTGAATAACAGTTAGCTTCTAGAGCGGTATTATACAAAGATATTACAGTTAGTTTTCGGCAACTCATCTCACCGCGTTGGAATTCACGGATAAACGACGCTCGCATTACCTGAGTGCTTTATTTAGATTAAGCACTGAGTAAAAATCGGAAATTTGTTGAGATTTAGAAACGTGATCACATATCTTTTAGTAAGTTTATGGGGTTTAATATCATTAACGAGATTGAGCGTTAAACATTTTCGAGCTGCGAAATGTTTATGTTTGTATTGAAGCAAGAAAATCACAACTTTGATGGTATAAAAGGGAATTTTAGCTCCTAGGCTGGGATACATGCAGCGACATAGGAATGACCTTGGGAACTTAAATTCATAATATATTACTAAGGCTTTTGTTTTCAGACACACATATAAATCATATTACTTGCAGATTTTATCAATAAAGTTATTCATATACAAAATTGTGGAAATGCTCGGTCTAAACGATTAATTCACTATATGTATGCGTCGGGGCCAAATGTTAAACTTTTTTATTGCCCGCTGTATACATAAACGGCAATCTATTCATCATCTATACTGATTTTAAAATGTTTTTGTCTACTGTGCAAATGAAGCAAGCCTTTCCGCTGAAATCTGAGAAACCGCCTCCGTATCTTCTTTACACATATCATATTCCCGGTATTTGCATACCCCATAGCCGTAAACCCATTATATATTGTTTGCGACAGATGCAACCGAGCGTATTTCGAGGAGCTATGCATAATACGCATCAATGCCTTTGCATTGTAACTGGTAATGCCAAAAAATGCATTCTCTAAGTGGATTTTTTCCAAAAAGCATGACCTTTCTTGTCCTCATTACTCCGTACCCCGTGCCCGGACCTCCGGTCACCTTTTCTCTTTTCATTTGGTTTACGTATGTGCCAAGTGTGTCGTGATTTGTAGCGGTGGTAGCATCAAATTGTACTACACATTTTGGTCACTAGAGAAGTGTGCAATGAGCATTGATATCTTCATTATACTCCTACATGTGTAAACCTTCGTGTCTTAACGGCTTCAAAACTCCACCCGCAGATGGCCGGACCGGGCACATTGTATTTAGCTGAAGCTTGCTTTTAGCAGTATTAGCAACAGCAGTTACCAGCGACATAGCAAAAATACGAACAATTCACTGCTTTTATCTTGTCGTTCGATATTTTTGAAAAGCTCAAGAATGCGTCCATCGATGCCTGTTTCAATTTTCAACAGCTACTGTACGAAAGTCGTCGCAGATATCGTCGAAGATCCATGCTCTCTCCAGCCACTTATCCAGTCGTTGTTGTACGCTAGCAGATGACCACAGCAGAGTTTTCGGGCCCTGCCGCTCCATTGTAGCCTCATTGCATCGATGTACGTCATCGGTGTAATCAAATGCCATCGCTCTACTGCCAGCGCTGACGTATTGTGAGGAGGACACCTTTACGCCCCTTCCTACCGCGCCTCCTCAGCTTCTGGATTCGCTGTCGGCATGCTAAACGTTGTCATCGCTGTTGTCATTGATGACGAATAAACAAAATGGCAGGAATCTCCACTGTTAACTTCCCTTTCAGTCTCAGACCTACCCTACACGAATCGCCATCCGTTCTGATCGCTGCTCGTGGCTTTGGCGACGGAAGCGAAGACAAAGTTCGCTTTGCTTCTTCGTTTGATCTTCTAGAAGAATAATTAATTCGATTGGTTGCTACCTAATAGTAGTCGACTAACAAAGAAATAGTGGATCGTCCAATTACGGAGTATTAGGTCAGGTACATACTGTTCGAAAGGAACATTGAGACCTAGTGTGTTTCACGGACACAGCGTGGACCTGTCGTGAGGGAGTTCCGCAGGTAGACAACAATCAATTGAGCACCAGTATGAGTTTTCCGTGAAAAATACTTATGTACTAGTGTATTGCTTCAATTTTCATCTAATGCATTTTCTCTCTCTCTCTCTTTATATATATTTATATATAGATATGCTGAAACTTAAACGATGTTGTTATCGTAATTGAATACCGACATGGCTATATGATATAATTCAAGAAGTTACAACACTCTTGAATAAATATAAGTGGTCCGTATGCAAAGTGGCTATCTCCAATATAGATCTCTGGATTCCAACATAGCGCTGACATAACGCTGCTGGCCACAGACTGGTTTTGGGAATATGTTGCGCCTGTCTCTTTTCCCCTGTTTTCCCAAGTAGCGACCAGGTTCTGTGTTCGATGACAAAATTTATCGCCTTTTGGATATCCCCATCATTTTAACTATGAATTTTGCTTACCATTTGTTTTTAACACCCTTATTCGAATCACATATATTATTCGTGCGTATCTTTTTATGTTACTATATTCGTACTCCGTATTATGTGGTACCTTCTGCGTTCTTTCTTCTGAACCTGCCAAAGCGCCTCATCACAAACACATACGATAGATACTGTACCATTGGAGCATCGCGAGCGACAACACTGTTGGGTAAGTTCGATTCAGTTTGCGATATTGCGCAATTTTACGTTATCTTCTACATGACTTGTTCCTAGATTATCTGGCAGTTCTATCCGTCCCATTTCGCGACGAACTGAGGATGGAAGTCCCCGAAAAAAGAGCGAATGTCAACTGAAAAAAGACCGAGTCGCGACACGCGTTTTCGAGGCCATTCGAAAAGGTATAATGGATAGGACTTGCTAAATATAGTTGAATTAACAACTAACTGAATTCGGCGCATGAATTAACAAGAGGGAAAGAGTTCAAAAGCGTTGTTGTGCCCCTGTAGCCATATTGGCAGCAATTTTGGGAGATCTTTTTTTCCTCTAGCTCTTAGCGAGAACACTGGAAAGTATATCGAATAAAAATAGCGTTGGGTTAATACGTTGTGATGTGATCAGCAGCGGCTGTCACTGAGAATGGTGGTATTTGGTAAAAACATCATTTTCTGCTGCTTATATAAAGTACAAACAGACAAGGAACACGGAAAGCATGACGAAATATCGAGTTGTGACATATGTGACATGCTGACAAAATTTGTTACGAAAGAATTGACACCGAGTAATGATGAGTGAAAACATCGTAATGACCGAACATTTACTACTGTTTCAGCGCTTCTCATCATGAAATGGCTATACTTCATTTTAGCGTTTTTGCCGCTTGGCAATATAACAATGCTCGAAATGGCAGCCAATTTAGCGGCTGAAGGTCGCAGAACACACGCTAGAGGTTTGTATAATTCAGTTATAATGGTCAATCGTTTAATTAATTTTGACCCCTAATATTTACATTTTGCCACTTGCTGTGCCATAAATATTCTTATTAGATTTCTTTTTTTTTTTCGAAATCTATATCTATGGGTAGGATGTCTGCCTATCTGCCTAAAGCAGTTCTTACGCTAATCCAAACAGGATATATTGGGCCTTTCCAAGGTCTAACTTACAAGCTAAGTCTAACGAAACAACTGTACATCTTATTCACTTTATTCACGCGTTCATGAAAGGTATTAAAACCCGCACATTATCAGTCCTAGCGGCTTGCTTTATCACTGCATAAACGACGAAAAGCTGTAACAGGCGCGAGCTAATTATGTACAACAGCCATTCATCGTTGCAAAGTCTTCGGTTCAACCCATGAACAAAACATACTAAGTCAACGTAGTGTATGTTCATGTGAATTTATTTTTCCATTACATGGGCTCTTTTCAACCTTTCAAATCAATCGTATCATGCACAGGAAGTCTGGCAACGAAAAAAAGAACTTAGCAAATTATTCTGTTCTAAGAGGTAATAAAGTGTAATGATTGACCAGGGCTCTCTTTCAATAAACATACCGCTTTGGCTATTCCAGTTAAGTCATTATGGGCAGCTTTGTAGTACCTGCGTAAAATTTGCTGACAATCACTATGGCTAAAGCATGTTCTATAATCTGAATGGGGCGAAAATTTGCCTTCCGAGACGCTCCGTTATATGCACTAATATGGGAAGCTTATTCAACACCCGTTTTTCCTTCTCTTGTATAATATATTAAATAACATATATGAATTTTATATCACGTTCAAAAAATAACTACAATTGACTACTATTTTATGAACTACAAGTTTTTCAGTTTTTGACACTGCATTTTTTGTCAGATTTTGACGTATAGGAAAAGTAAGCAGTCCAACAGGAAATATTTCTTCTATAATA